CCAGTTTAATGATTGTTTGGATGTTTTAATGTAACTTGATCTGGCGATATATTCGTGTAGAAGATTGTTATAGAAAAAATATTTAAGTTTTTTATGTTGATTTTATTTTTGTATGCAGTTTATTTTTTATTGATTTTTCCGTTTTTATGCTTTATTCATTGTTTGAGTAGTTATTTTTGTTATTCTATTTGTTTGTTCGTTTGTTTGTTCGTTTGCTCGATGGTTTGTTTATTAATTTATACTGGCTGATTGCTTTCCTGAATGTTGTTTGCAAACGTTTATCGTTTTTCTATTTTTTTTTCTTCCTTTCATCTGTTTTTTTTTGTTTTTCTTGAATGTTTTTGTTTTTTTATTTTTTGAGAGATGTTTTTGTTTTGTTTTTGGCTCATGTTGCTTCCTTGTTTTGAATTATGTTCATCATTCATTCACCCATCCATCCATTCTTTCATTCATTCATCTTTCTTTTTTCTCTACAACAGAACATTTTTAAAATGCTTCTTGCATTGTTTGCCTTTTTAAAACCTTTCATCAGTTACATTCTGAACATTTTTTTCATAAAAATTTTTACGAAAAAAAATAAGCGTTAAATAAAATGTCAAATAAAGTCATATAAGATGTGGAATATTCTTACAGCTGAACTGATGAGCAATAAATAATGGATAGTTCACTCAGATCATCTTTCATTTATTGTCATTCATTGAGTTGGGAAAATTAATCTCCGTTTCGACAACAATTTTAAACTTCAACGTTTACTGTATTGGTGATCTCATTGTTATTTTTCTTATATCATCATTATTATTGTTATTATTATTTGTTAATATTATTATTATATTATTTGTTATTTTTATTAATTTTTTAAGAAATTTGAGCACTTCACTCATCTTCATTTTATCTTAATTGGTAATTTTAAACCCAAACGCACACACACATATACGTACGCTAACACAACCCACACACACAGACACACGCACATACACGCACACATACACATGCACATACACGCGCACGCACACCCTAACACATAAACACACGCGCGCGCACATACACACTCACACGCACAACAAACTTGTTTTGAATTAATAATGAGAGGCAAAAACAAATTTTTTTAATTAAAATTTGTTGTTCCATTTTTTGGATTTAAAAATCGAAAATTGTGGCGCGTTTTGTTTTAATCAAAATTGTTGTTAAATTCTTTATTTTATGGTTCTATATTAATTACTTCATAAGGTATCATCAAAAAACACAAACAAAATAATTCCAAAAAATTTTATAATAACTTTTAATAATAATGGAGAAGTTGGAAAAAGTTCAGAGAAAGGTAACGCATGTGAGAGAGGTTGATGAAATTGGAATTGCCGTCTCTAGTCTACAGACGTCTAAGAGCCGATCTTATTTTGTCATATAGAATAACACCTGGTCAGCTCCTTGCTGATGTTGTCCCCACGTTACTGTTGGCACACGATGTTCGTACGAGGGGCCACAACTTCAAGCTAACTATCGGTTCTAGCCATAAAGACTGCCGTAAATTTTTTTTTCGAATAGAATGGTGGAAGAATGGAACAAACTGCTTTCGGCCGTTGTTAAGACCATCTTCATGAGCGGTTTCAAGTCAGCAGTCGATAGTTACTACGGTGTCTCCAAGTTCAGCTGGCCATCCAATTTCTAATTTTAACTTGATCTGTGTACCTGTACAGTTAAATCCATTTTGCTTGTGGAATCAAAATTAGTTTTTTTTGTCATTTAACGATTTATTTATCATCATTTTGATTTTGACCTACGTTCTTATAGCAGGTTCACGTGTTTATATTCAGTTCATTTCTTTTGACACTCTTTTTGCTAATTCCATCTGATATATTTTATTTTATTTTTTTTCTGTGTTTGTTTGGCGAGGGATAAGATAAGAAAAGATAATAATTATAATAAATTTTTAATAACTTTCAATGGAATAACTTTTAAATAAAACTTTAAAAAATAACTCCAATATTTCACGTTAAATCTAATTTGGATGGCTATAAAAATGTGTTAAACATCACGTTCCCATGTATAAAATTTTTATAAAGTATTGTGAGATATTAAAGATGGGAATGAATTACAACCATATCCGAGACCGAAAAGAAACCGATCTTCGCTTGCGATTAAAACCGTCGAACCAAATCGAACCGAATGACCAAACTATACTCGAACTTTGCAGGAAGAATTTTGCTTCCATCTCTCATATATATCTATTCGTATTTTTTTACAAACAGAATTGAAATTGCTTCATCTGTAAAATTAAAATTTAATAAAATTTAATAGAGGATGTTGTTGGTGCCAGAAAACATCTTGAATGTTATATGTAGGATATAGTCGATTTAGATCACCTTCTTGTAAGATAGCCTGTCTACGTTTATGGCAATTTGATCACACGCTTATTACAAATTTAAGATTTACATTTTCATACGATACCAAATTGCTTTCTTTTAATTTAAATATATAAACTCTAGATATATCAAATGCGTGAAATAATTTGTGTATCTGTATGTGTTATTTATTTTTTAATACTAGGTGCCGCATTTTTATATACATCTTTTGTCTCGTTCTATCTCGTTTCGTTTCGTATGTTACAAAATGTAACAAAACAATATTTTTCCCTGGTAAACAACAAATACATTGTTCTTCAGAAATTGACACACACTCTACGCATGTATGCATGTACGTACGTACATGTGTGTCTATATTTGTATGTATGCAGGTTTGTTTGTACGTATGTATGTGGGTATATCTGTGTGTGTATGTATGTGCGTATGTGTTTCCAGGTATGTGTGTATGAAAGGTAAGCCCGTATGCATAATAGCCTACAGACTTCAAAATTGCATGTTCAGATGGAAAACAATTTGTTGCCATGCATGCATCTCAAGATTTCATAAATCACTTTTAGCACTCATTCCTTTTATTAGTTATTTTTATATTTTTTTCATTTGCATATTTTTATTTTATCATCCCTTTTTTATTTCTTTCAAAAGTTTTATTTATACCATGAGTACCAAAAAATATTTATCATAACACTCCAAGGAGTTTACATTTTAGATGCACATGCGAATTTTTGCCAGTTCATTTCAATTCTAGACCAAGCTATAAACCTTTATCATTATACATATATGGGTATTATTCATTCATTTATTCGTTGCTCATTCATTCATTCATTTATCTATCCATCCATCCATCCATCCATCCATCCATCCATTCATTTTTTGCGAAACTGAATATTTTCGCGTATCCATCATAACAAAACGCACTCCAGCCATTCGTCTGTTTGTTCGGTTGCATAGAATAAGAAAAAAAGTTTTTTCGTTTTTATATCTATGGCAACCTTTTGGAACCTACTCGTAACTCACAAAAATATTTTCCTGAAGATTTTTATGTGCTATGTAATGGACGTATGATATGTAGTAGTTGCTACACTAATATAGCTTTTTTCTTGGCGTTATTATTATCTTTGTGGCTGCTGCTGTTGCAGCTACTTCTGCTGCTGCTGCTAATGTCGTTGTTGTCGTCGTTGTTGTTGCTGTTGTTGTTTTTATAGTAACAATAATACTTAATACTTATTTGTACTAGTATCAGTCGTTGATTTAGTTCCAGTAGGATTAGTTGTGCCAATAAACGTTTGTTTTGGTGTTGTAGCAGCAGCAGTAGAGATTCTAACAGTATCAGCAGCAAATGTAGTAGCGGTAAAGCATCAAATATAGTAGCACCAACAACAGTAGCGGAGGTAGTAGCAGCAGAAATTGCACGATTGATGTAGGTAGTAGTAATGTTCTACCTTGTGATATTTATTAGTAACAATATTAAAAGTCTTAATGACAATAACCTCATTAAAGTCCTAATTCTTGCCAACAGCATTAGTAGTGGCGACAACATTGAAATAGTAGTAAAGTAGCAGTAGTGTTTTAAACTAGCAGCGGCAGAGGTAACAGTAGCAGCAGTTGTGGCGATGAAATGAGTGGTCGATGATTGCTAATGATAGTTTGGGTACGTTTAATGAGGTACCTTTAAAAGCATGTCCCCCTCAATCATTTTTAAAAGAACAACAATACAATCTTATTAGATTTCATACAAAGGTCGTTGCGCATAAAAACACAGACACACACAGACACACACACACACACACACAGACACGAAAACACACGCACGTACACATTCACACATACAAAATAACACTACAAACCACTAAAAGCATTATATTTGAATGTGTGTCGTGTGTGTGTGAGTATGTGTGTGTGAGTGTGTGTCGTGTGTGTGTCGTGTGTGTATGTGTGTGTGTGTGTGTGTGTCGTGTGTTTGTGTGGTGCAACAATAAAAAAACGCATTTTAATGTTCTGTTCAATGTGCAATTTAATTAAATCCTTTTTTTACATTCGGAGGAAGACGGTTCTATTCTACTATAGATTCAATTATAACGTAGCGAGCGGGTTGAGAGTAAAAATTTGAAGATAAAATTATGAAGAAAAAAATGCGAGTGTACATGTTTTGAAAATTCAAAATTAAAAAATTAAACAATTTTAATTAAATTTAAAAATTGGTAAATTCATTTTTGTTGTAAATGAAAAAAATGAAATATTAATAATAATAACGATATATGCACACCGTGTAAACTAAATTATCTCTATCATTATTATTATACCAGTTTAAACATATTGTTATGTATATTATTACTCATTATATATGTACAATAATGTACTAATACTAATTCAGTTACACCATAAATTGTAGTAATTTGTATCACAAATATACAAAAATACAAAAATATATTGCATTCATATGCCAAAAGCGGTATATTTGTATTTGTTATGCACGTGAATACAATATAATTGTGTGAATATGGGATGGGTAGAGAATAGTGAGAAAAATATTTGGAAGCAATTAGGATACAAAGGATGGTGACGACGACGACGACGATGATGTTGCTGTTGATGATGAGGATGATAATGATGATGAAGATGATGACGATGATGACTACGAAGATGGCGTGCTTAATAAATAATTTGATAAGATTGAAAATGACAGCATGCAGATATGAAGCAGGTGATGACGATGATGGCATGGATTAATAATAATATTCTGCAACTTAACCGTGAAAACCATTACACCGTTGTTTACATTTTAATAAAATAATATTTTTTTCTATTTTATAAAATAATATTTTTTTTGTTTTAATGTTTGAATTTATTCACTCAAACAGAGGAACTTCAAGTCGTGAAAGCAGGTTTTCTTAGAAAATACAAAAGTACGTGTCTGAATGTTTATATATTTATTTGTATATTTGTATGTCGGTCTATTTGTTTATCTGTCTGTCTGTTTGTCTGTGTTTATGTATAAGCCTTTATGTTTGTTTGTATGTCTGAATGTACGTTTTTATATTTATTTTTATGTCTGTCCGTCTAGTTTATCTCTATGTCTTCCTGTGTTGTGTATAATTGTAATTTTGTTTTGTATTTATTCTTGTGTGTATGTATGAATGTGCGCGCGTGTGTGTATGTGTTTGTGTGTGTGTGTGTGGGTTTAGGTTTGTTTTTTTAATGTTATTTTCAATGAATTTTACGTGGGTTTGTTTATGTTTTTGTTTATTTCCGTTAATGTTTATTTATTTGTTCATTTGGCAGTGTAATTATTGTTTACACGTTCAGTTTCATCCGAGTGAATGCAACCTCGTTAGCGCGCATCATTCTGCCTGATGTTGTTTTATTTCGAGTTACAAGTGTTTGGAAGATGTATGTATGTATATTTTTGTTGCTATCTCTATTATTAATGTTATTATTATTAGTATTATTATTATTGTTGTTGTTGATGTTGTTGTTGATGTTCTTGACGTTGTTGTTGACGTTGTTGTTGTTGTTGTTGTTTTTATTTCATTCTGCCTGGCTGTTATAAATTTCTGCCATCTCCCTATCTTTATCTCCTTTTTCCTTCTTCCTATTTTTCTCGATAAGAACTTTTTAAATAATGACGACGATGATGATGGAATGATGCTGGAGGCTAAATGATGGAGAAAATGATGATGGTGATGATGATGGTGATGATGATGATGATGATGGTGATGATGATGATGGTGATGATGATGATGATGGACCTAATAGTTGAGAAGGACGTAGATGATGGCGTTGATGATGATGCTGATGATGGAGAGGATGATGATGACGACGATAATGGTGATGATGACGATTATGGAATTAATAGTTTCGAAAGACGAAGATGATGACAAGGATGATGACGACGATGATGATGGTGATGATGACGATGATGATGGTGATGATGACCGCTAGTGAAAAGTAGCGAACGTTACGAAGACGATGACTTAGTGGAATCAAATTATGGATGAGCAAAAATTGCTGCCTGAGTATCAAAGTTACTTGGAGAGGAAAATAATTCAAATGGAAATAATAATAAAACGAATAAAAGAAGTAAAGAGAATGAAAAAAGGAATGAAGAAGACAAAACGAAAAGAAGCGGAAACAGGAAACGGAAAGAAGTTTTGGTTTTGAATGTACTACATGCAAAGCATTGAGGCATGTGTAGTTTTTCTTTTATTTTTCAAAGTACACGTTCAAATGCGGGCTTTTAATGAGCTGGTCACGTGACGAAGAGCGCGTTTCTTCTTCCATAAACTCGCCTTTCACGGGCGCTATAAAAAAAATGTCCTCCACTCTTCTAGTGTCCACATTTTTTAATGAAATGAAAAATAATTTCAAACTAAAAAAATTATGTTTCTAAATTTTGTAGTCTATGTTGTAATTTACGTAGTTATTTATGTCATCGCTGATGTGTCTTGCAAATGTTTGCAGCACTTTATGCGCGCTAGAATGTGATGAAACCACCATCATGTGTGGTTCGTTCACTATATTATAAACTATTTAAAAAAGTATTCAGTTAAAAATATTTAGTAAGCAAATGTGTGCGTGTATGTATGCAAGTGTGTGTATGCTTATGTTTGTGTGTTTGTATGTGTGTGTGTGCGTTTTTGTAAGTGTGTGCGCGTGCATGTGATTGTGTATGCTTTAGAAATTCTCGCCCATCACGTAGACCCAGGCTCACTTGGTGTAAATAAATTAAACTCTGTCCTCACATCAATTTGAGCGCTTAACCTTAGGTGGAGAGGCATTGATGGCATAAAACAAAACGAGAAAAATGTTCAGTGATCCATAATCAGAGTAATACATAATGCATAATACACAACAGGCATAAGACACGTAGGTATCTATCTTGACGTCTGTTACATGAATTCAACAAAAATTTATCTATTCCTCTTTTAATTATTCATTTGTATTTTATTTTTATGATTAATTGACTGAAACATTGCAAATCAGCATGCAGGCAACACGTTGTTTTCATCCAGGCAGTTGGACGAGCAGGATTGAATTAAACATGTTCTCTTACTTGCTAACTTATTTTGTTCGTTCAAGAACTACAATTCAACCGTGATTCTTCACACCATTCGACATAACTCAGATGTTTTCAATTTTTTCTTACTTCAAAAACAAAATTTCGACCCCAAAACTCTTAAACAGAACTTTTGTAGGGTTTGCACACTTTTGTAGAGTTTACTTACTTTGAAAGAATTGCTGAAGAACTTGTATAGATGCTTATAAACAAGCCGCAAATGACTGATTACAATTTTTTTTTCAAGGAGATTTTCAGTTAACATTATTTGAAACAAGTGTTTTGTTCTCAACTGGTTGAATATTGGCATCTATATATTGTATAAGTCACACATAGAGGCGTTATGAGTTTTTACGTGATATGTGTTGTATGTCTAACAAAGTGTGTTTTATTTGTATTAGGTACGTTGTGTATGTACAGATGGTCTGTATGTCTGTATATTTGCAGTGTATGTATGTGTTTGTATATGTTCTATGAGTCTATGTATGTATGTGTCTGGTTATATACCTGTGTGTGTGTGTGTGTGTGTGTGTGTGTGTGTGTGTGTGTGGTGTGTGCGTGTATGTATGTATGTATATATTTGTTTGTTTAAGTACCAGTGTGTGTGTGTGTGTGTGTGTGTTAGTGTGTGTGTGTGTACCTGTGCGCGCGTGTGTGTGTTTATATGTGTGTGTACCTGTGCTTGAGTTTTTATGAATTATGTTTACTCAGAAGAACTCAGTCGGTGCAGATGTTTGCTGATTGAGTATAGAATTTTTTTTCTTCCAATGGCTCTTCATCTCCATACGTTCATCGCATGTTGATGTTCTTTCATCCATTTTTGTGTTTTCAGTGGGCAGTTTACCATGTGTCCAAATGTTTAACTCACGCGAAAATTATTAAAAAACAAATTCTAGATTTTATTAACATAAAGAATTCAAAATTTAAATTGTACAAAAATTTTTGATGACACATTGAAAAGATAAAAACTTTTAAATTTTATATTAACAAATTAAAAAAAAACATTTTTAATATAAACATTCAAGAATTAAAATTTCCAAAATTGAAAAAAACAAAAAAAATTATATTTTTTCAGAAGGGTTTCTATCAAAGGGTTTCAAGGCAGTCTACGTGGAGCTGACCAGAGACAGTTATTTTATGTGGTATCGCGACCAAACCAGCTACAAACGAGATGGCATCCTACATTTGAAAGTTAATTTTTCCATCGTTATTCATTTTCACTTTTTTTATAGCCACTCCCTTTCTCTAGCTCTCTCTTTCTAACTAACTTTCTCTCTCTTCATTTCATTATCTCTTTCTCTTCTAATAATGCAGACGGTTTGCGATTATTTGGCGGTGGGTCCGTACACGAGGAGCGTTCCGGGTCGACCGAATCTTTCGAGGCACGTGAACGAGAGGCACTTGCTGGCAGTTCCCTCTACCCCGTGTCGAAATTCCCTCGTTCATTGGTTCCTCTGTGCTAATGATGCTGATTTGAAGTTAGTTTTCGTATGTATGTTTTTGCATGTGTGTGTATTTGTGTGTGTGTGTGTGTTTGTGTGTGTGGTGTGTGGTGTATGTAAGTTTGTATATAAGTTTCATCACCGTTAATGATGATTAATGGTGATAACAGTGCAATAAATGTTGGACGAAGATTATTCAGCAAGATTGGGGGGATAATGTTGATAAAGATGAAAATATACATCATCGTTAGCAGACATCATCGCTGTTATAATCATTTATCATTCCCTCGTTAACATTCATCTTCTACCATCATCGTTGACATCATCATCATCATCATCTCAATGGATCATCATTATCATCATCACTGCAGCATCATTATCATCATCAACATCGCCACCATCACCACATTTCATTGTCGTCATCATCATCATTACTGTCACCTTCGTTCGTATTGCATTTAAAATTTTTAACAAACTTAATTATATTTAAGCTCGGTTTTATAATTTATTATAAGAAATAATAATAAAATGAACAAAACCAGCGCCGAAACCAATTTTAATCCATACATAAATTTTTTCAAACCCCCTCAAAAAGGGATTAATCCATATTTTTAAATTAAATCCATTTAAATGGAACTTTAATTCAGCATTATGCTGATAGGTTGGTCGGTAGTGGAATACTTGCAATGGAAAATAACTGGACGTGAACAAAACTTGTACGTGTGTGCATGAGTTTCAGGAGTTTTTAAATTTGTGTGTGCGTGTTTGTGTGTGTGTGTATAAGTGTGTGTGTGCTTGTGCGTGTGTGTGTTTTCCAATTTGATAATTAATTCGACAATTCATATTTATTATTCATTGGGCCATCACTATTCCTCTCAGCTGCACAAACAATAACCGCCATTAAAAATTCAACGAGCAATATAAATTTGCCTTTTTTATAATTTACGAAGCACACACACACATACACACACCAACACACACAATAAAACGTTATGAGAATACATCCTCATAAATAAAATGCCGTAGTTAAAATATTTGCTAGATTGCGTGTATAGACTATGTTCTGAGTAGCAAGTAGGTTAGTTACATCAATTCAAGTTGTTTTGAATTTGCTGTTGCTGCTGTTGTGGCTGCTGCTGTGGCTACTGTTGTGGTTGATGTTATTGGTTGTTGTTGCACTTGTTGCAATAAAAATTTTTGGAATTGATGTTTTTGCTTGTTGTTTAGTTTGTTTTTGTTGTTGTTGTTACGTTAACCAGCTCTGCTGTTATAGCAACTGATGTTGTTGTTTTTGTTACATTTGTTGTTAACGTTATGGTCGCATTGATGTCGTTGTATACATTATTTTGTTTCCATCTTGTTGTTATTGTATTGATGTTCATTCATGCTATTATGACTTTGTTTGTGTTTACTCTAAAAAGAGGTCTCATATATCTCACTGTGTCAAATGCTGTCATCTTCAAGTATCCAGTATCAGGTTGGCAGACGTTGTTCCTATAAGGTTACATTATAATAATAACAGTAATAATAATACCAAGAAGAAGACGAATAACAAAAATAATAACAAAAAAGCATAATAACATAAAAAATCAACTACTGTAAGATGGCACATTACGCATTTAACATTTCGTCTGAAACGCCAACAAATATCTGTGAAATGGTAAATGGATGTGCATTCAAGAGTTCTCCTTGTAATAAATGATATTTTTATTGTGAAAGAGAGAGAGAGAGAGAGAAAGGAGAGAGAGAGAGAAGGGAAAGAGAGAAAACAACAAAAAAGAACGAGACAGACGGACAGAAACTGAAAAAATGAATGAGAGATATACGATTATAATAAATAATAAAAAAACGAAAAAGAAAAATAATAATAATAGCAAAAAATTTAACTAAACCTCAAAATCTAAACCAGGCCTGGGCAAACTACAGTCCGCATGCGTCCCGCGGAGCTATTTTATGTCCAAAAAAAGGTCAACCAGACATTATGACCAAAAAAAGAGAAAAAGGAACCACAAATCTTATAAAATTCTCCCCTGGGTCGAAAAAATTGCTATTAAAGTACACATGCGGCCCTTCGAAGATGGTATAGTTCTCAATGCAGCCCTCACAGCAAAAAATTTGCCCACCCCTGATCTAAGCTGACAATCGTTGAAGAAAATGAAAATTTTCAATTAAAACTTTTATATTTGAAATAATATAGAGGAGTGAAAATCTAATTAGATATTTTAAAAAGACTACATTGTTGTTATAATAATAATAATTATTATTATTCTCGTCTCGTTTGAGGCCCCACCCACAGTTAAGTCTTATTTTTAATTTAGGTTGTCATCGTCCATGCCTGCTATATATTTTTATGTTTTTCACTTTTTCTCTCTCTTTCTCTCTCTCTCTTTCTCTTTCTTTATCTATTTTTTTTCTCGTTTTCTGTCTTTCTCTATCTTTCTCTTTCTCTCTCTCTCTCTCTCTCTCTTTTCATCTCTATCATTTTATCTTCATTTTCTCTTTCTTTCTTGTTTTTTTCTTTTATCTTTTTCTTTTTTATCTAATTCTTTATTTTTTCTCTTTTATTTTCTCTCTTTCTTTCTCTCTCTCCTTCTCACTCTCTCTCTCTCTCTTTCTTTTCTAGCTTTACTCACTTCCTGAGGTATGTGTTTATAGTGGTCACTTTCATTATGCGAAAATCCAATTAACAGTTTTGTCCAAAAATTTTGAAGTAGCAGTAGTAGTGGTAGTGGTAGTAGTAGTAGTAGTAGTAGTAGTAGTAGTAGTAATGTAGTAAATTAGTAGTAGTAGTAATAGTAGTAGTAGTAGTAGTTAGTAGTAGTAGTTGTAGTGGTAGTAGTAGTAGTAGTAGTAGTAGTAGTAGTAATGTAGTAGTAGTAGTAGTAGTAGTAGTAGTAGTAGTAGTAGTAGTAGTAGTGGTGGTGGTAGTAGTAGTGGTAGTATTAGTAGTAATATTAGTAGTAAAAGTAGAAGTAGTATTTGTAGATCTATTAATTAATTTAACAATCATTCATTCATCTATCAATTAGTTCATTCATTCGTTCGTTCATTTTTTAACTAATTAATTATTAAATAAACTCCTTTTTCGTAATTTATTTATTTATTTCAACATATTTTTCTAAATTTGAAAATTATTTCAATATTTATATATATATATATATATATATATATATATATATGTATGTATGTATATATATATATATATATATAATATTATTAATATTTATGCCTTTACAGTGACTGGATGGTGATCATTAATTCTGTGGTCAGTTCGCTAATTTTTTTATTTAGCGTATAATTATTTTTTCGTACTATTATGTATTTTTTCGTACTAGTATTCGTAAAATACAACTAATTGTAAATATAAAAATAAAGCCTTTAGGAATTAATATAATTTGTCATTCATAACATTCATAATAATAATTATTAAAAATGTTAAAATTATATTATTAAATATTTTAGTAATAATAATTATAATATAATAAATTATGTCAGCTACCTCCCCTATCCCCAACTGATGATGAATTGATGATGAAAGGCCCACCACCACCATACCCTGGATCGTCATCAGGTTTTTTTTTCATTAATTATAAATTTAGAAACAAAGGTTATTTTCGTTAACGAGTCATTATGGTAGTTATAAAATTAGTTATCAATAAAATTAAAATTATAAAAGTAAAAATTGTTGTAATATTTTCTATGGTAGTAACAAATGGTAACATGAAAGTTATTTTCTCACATTTTTCTTAATAAATACCCAAAAATGCCAACCAAAAATGCGTTAGTCGACGTTGTCAGATCTAGCATGGGGTAGACTGGAATTTCCTTGCGTTCGAACCCGGTCACTAAGATAGCAGGCTCCGGCGTCTTAACCATCACGCCAAATATTAATAGTAAATAAAAATAAATAACAATGATAATAATAAAACTAACAATAATAGAAATAATAATAACTTTGGATGAGAATTTTTAATAATAGAAAAAGTATATATTGTATAATTGATAAGAAGGGTTTGCAAACATGGCATGCTAGGTGTCGTTATATCCAGTGAGTTGGAATGCATGGAAAGCTAGGAGCGAGGAGTATGCGTAGCGTAATGGCCTCATTAATAATATTCAATCTAGAGAGTTTTTTTTAGTTACGATTGATTCGTTCGTTTGTTCATTCATCCGTTTGTTCATACATTCATTTATTTATTTATTCATTCATTCATTTGTTCAGTTTTTTATTGTGAAAAGTTATTTATTATGTGTATATACTTGGAGGGTTTCAAATTGCCAATTCCGAACATTTTCCATCTAATTTCTATTTTGAAGCTTTGTTGATTGGGCAAAATTAATACTGTTAAAAGTGTTTGATCATTTAATTAAGATTAAATTAATTAATTCTAATTGAATAAATTGAAATAATTTATTAAATTGTATAGAAATAAATGAATTAATAATTGGTTTCTGAAAAGGAAAATTGAATGATTACAGAGCCGCTCGAGTTGAAGAAAGCTTCAAAACAATCCCAGTTGACGTCTTCGCAATCCAATCCACAATCCTGCAACATCGTCAGCAACCTCCCAACCGCCAATGCCATATCACTTCTTTCCAGCAACAACAAAAGCACAACTTCGACGACAACTAATCATTCTCAACACGAACAACCGCATCAACATCAACAGCGTTCTCAGCGATTACAGCAATATCAACAACAGCAGCAGCAGCAGCAACAACAATCATCTTCTAGCATATTCCATCAACAATCATTTCAGCAGCACTCCTCTCAAGAAATCAACTACAGGAGTAGTCATCCCCACCAACAGCAACAACCAAAATATCAACATCATTCTCAACAACAACAACACGAACCATCCACAAACGTCGACCAACAACAACAACAACAGCAGCAAACATCATCCTCAGCAGTAGTAACCAACATGTCAGATTGTGTGTGGGGCTGGACATGGGGTTGGGGTGGTGGGTGGGGATGTCCCGGTTGGCACAGCTTCAATTTCCTGCCCAGTTCTGATTTTCTCCTCCTCGCATCGTCGGCCGACGCGTTCAACGACAACGCCCACGCATCGTCGTTCAGCACGAACGGCTACCATGACTACAATCATCATCATCATCAGCACGATTGCGACGTGGTGGACCACCACGGCGATTACGATGGGATTGGTGACGTCGACACTGGATGTGACGCCACGTTTGACGGAAGCGGATTCGACGGAGGAGCTGCTTTTGATGTCGGCGGTGTCTTTGATGCTGCCTTCTCGCTTGGATTTTGAATGGGAACAATTTTTGTTTAGTATTAATGTTGTACATTATTTAAACACTGCACAATTGTAGTTAGTAAATGTGAATTATTATTTTATTATTTTTAATATATTATTTTTTTATATTATTTATTCTTCAACGTTAGCTGTGCTACGATTTATTTCCAGTGGATATATTCAATTTGCATGAAGAACAGAAATATTATCTCAATGGAACGCAATAACTATATAATTTGAATAGGCAATACTATTGTTATATTTGTAGAAGACAACTCATTGTATGAAATCTACAAACAATCACTGTACTGTTAAATATTTCGTTGTATGTTTGCTTGTTAAATAAATTGTGTCGGTATTGTTGTAAAACTAAAGGTTGAAACTGGAAGCAATTAAAGTACACTGCAATACACTACATACAGCATAATACATTACAACACATTACAGTACAATACATTACATTACAAAACAATACACTACAGTACAATATATTACAGTACAAAACATAACATTACAATACATTACAGTGTTATACATTACAGTACTACACATTACAATACAATGCAACATCATGCGTAGCTACTCATTTTCATGCATCAAAATGAACTTTTCTCTAAAAAGGTCAAATTCGTTATTTCGCGATAAAGCCTGTAACATTACATTTTGTAAAAAAAAGTGTTTATAAAAAGGCACACGAATTAGAAATTTAGCGGAAAAAATAAATTTTCTTTTTTATAATTTAAAATTCACAAAATTTTGTCATAACTCATTTATGTTTTCTCACTTTTAAAACCGTTTCTCTCAAAAACTTCTTTTGAAAAGTATTAATTTGACGGAAAATTGTGGTGCATGTGTGCATAAATGAATCCTACGTTTCAAAAGTGTTCACTTATTTGTCAAATTATAGAATTAAATGTTGAAATGCTTTGGGGGTGAGTTAGGAGCATATATACAGTATAATAGTACACATTAATCTCTACCAAACACCACAAACAAGAAGGCAGCTTATTGAACGCCAGAAGCTAACAACCGCCAAATTACAATCTGTTCACGATCGAGCTAGAGAAACAAATTGTCCAGTTGATAAAATGCAAATGAAAGGAATCGATCCAAATAAAATGAATGTCATCAGATGAGTGTGTGATCTGCAGTGGCTTGGCCACGCACCAGCTAAGCAGAATAACATTCAATGTATCCATAATATTGCTGATTACTCGCAAATCTGTAAAAGGTAGATAGATCTCCATAATACATAGATACACATTTGACAAAATGGACAGAAAAAATTATTGTAACGAATTTTGTCTTTTTCGGAGTATGATTTTTTCCAAAGAATAAAAAAAGACGTCGAAACTCAGACCGAGTAACGAATTTGGTTGTACAGCGAGTAAAAAACCAGTTAGCGCTTCATGAAGTCTTGCAGTTTGCGGTTCAATATTCCGGAACGGTTCCGCTGGACGCCTGTGGTGGGATGAGTTCATGAGATATCTCCACTATATACAAAAATATTATTCGTCTTAATAATTAAGAAAACATTCGTTTATATGTTTATATGTGATTGCATATCTTCTTTATATGTAAAATCGATAGATCGGCAAATTATATATATATCATTATATATATATATCATTATATATATATATATTTATTTATTTATTTATATGTATATAGTATATAATATATTTTCAATTACACGGATTAAATTATGCTTTATATTTTTAGTGTTTGTAGCTAGTTGTATGGAGATAAAATATTTGTTGTATTCATCTGTCAATATATATATATATATATATATATATATATATATATATATATATATATATATATATATATATATATATATATATATACTCAATATAATATATCTGTAGCATGTATTTGTATATCTATAAATGCATTCAATAAATGATAAGTATATAAATATATATGTATATATATCTATATGTATAAAGTTAAATGAAAACTCTTTGGTGTTATCTCCCTACCTATCCTATCTTTCCATATGCTACCTTACCTGCCAGCTGACACACCTAGACTGCTGCCTACCTAGCTAGCTAGAACGAACCTTCTTTTTTATTGTTTGTGTACCGTAGGCACATACATAGACATCTTTTTACAGTTTTTCAATGAAAGCACAATCTCAATTAGCAGCTACGTAGTGTTAATTCTTTTTATTATAGGATTTGATTTTATCTGTTCGTTCGGTTGTTGAATAAGTGAGTTTATTCACGCAGATGTTTCCAAATGACAATTGTAACAATTTTGAATTAGAACATTGTTTGTTAATTATCGATTGCCAATAAAATCGTTTAGTTTTTGCGCACGATTTGACGTTTTAAGTATTTTTTTCATTTAAAAATCACGACAAACACCGCGAACTTTCCCATATCAACCAGCTCCTCTGATCGATCCTCCGGAGCCGGACAGCGAATAAAAATGACAGTACCCAGGAATGCGGACAAATAACTAACGAGGACACCATTACTACCATCTGTCAGTCATCCAATCATTAAATAAAATAATCTAGCATGAACATATAAGAACAAAAGACTTTTTTGCATATAATTACGCGAGAATTCATTCATCCATTCACTCTTTCATCCATCCATTTGCTCGTTCATTCATTCACTCTTTCATTTATTCATTACGAAACACAAACAGCGCTTTTTTTACAATCATTTATTCCAGTGTTAAAACGAACAGCCACAATAACGAGAAATGAAATGTATGCTGTGTGAAATTAGAATTCATTGAAAAACAACATACGCATAGGATAGAACACAACAAAATGGTATAAAATAAAATTCATTTTTTTTTAATAAAAATAATTCCTTCGTTGAAAACTTTTCAAAAAGATATTATTATCAGTAGCTTAGTTAGCTGTGCAAATTATAACCCTCACTCAATTTCAACATCTCTACTATAAAATGAATCCATCATTATATAAAGTTCTATCTTGTGAAGTTAAAAGGTACTTCGGAATATATTTGGTAATAATTTACTAGGTTTCCTTGTAGTGCATCCTTTGTTTAACGGGACTTTTCGTATGTATATAGATAGATATATATTATGAAGTGCGTGCGTATGTTTATGTATGTGTATATATATATGTATATATATATGTGTGTGTGTGTGTCATCATTAGATATATATGATGAGTGTGTGTATGTTTATGTACGTGTATATATATATACACACACACACACACACACACACACACATATATATATATATATATATATATATATGTGTGTGTGTGTGTGAGTGTGTATATGTTTATGTACGTGTACATACACATGTGTGTTTGTGCGTGTTTGCATATGTATATACCGTCGAAAAGTTTCAAAAAACTAAATCATTAGATTTTTAATAAATCTTACTTAAATATATGAAAAAAAAATAAAATGAAATAAATAAAAAAAAATTAGGAACTAATATTAACCAGAACAGTACAACACAAATGTGAGGACAAATAATTTAGACACAGTTAAACGAACATCGTCATATTGAAAAAAAAACCTGTGATATTATAAAATATGCATTTGCATCAATCAATCCATCTCACCCGAACGAAAAATAACTCAAAAACAATGGCCAATCACTGTTATGTTGCACACAATATGAAATATGGTATCAGCAAATAAGACTTCGGGAATCAAGGGCTAGGAATACGTATAAAACAGTAAGTATATTCAATGTAAAATTGCAATATGAACATTAACGTGTAATACAGATTTTAATTCAATAAAAATGGAAAAACGAAAAATCATTTGAGTTTTTTTTCTCGATAAAAAATTTCCATCAACTAAAGATATTTTATTCGGTTTGCTCGTTCGCTTGTTTGTTCATTCGTGTTGGTTCGTTTTAATAAAAATCAAAACCGCATTTCATTGCAAAATGATCAAAATAAAAAGTATTTCATATAAGAACGGCTGTTTTGAAAAGTCATCCAAAACACAAACACACACACAGACGCACGCACGCACAAACTCACACCTAACAAGACAGACATACATAAAAAAATGTAACTTATATATATATATATATATATATATATATATATATATATATATATATATATATATATATATATAAGCAGATAAGTTCACGTTCCAGTCGACCATCGTAGTCGATAAGCATATAAATAAATATAATATGTAAATTTATAGGCTTAGCTGTCAGGATGAGCAAATAAGGTCCAGGTTATTAGTTGCAAATGAAGGAATGGATGAAAATTAACAATAGGAATATAACAACAAATAATAATCAGATCATACGCACGCAACATAACTAATTATTAACAAGTAGAAAACTACAACGACCTTAAAAAATAATCAATACAAAATTAGATGGCATCAAATCTGTAGATAAAATGTACTTAATTTTTTCACGGCAAAGAAAATATATCAACCATACTAAAATATGCAAAACAATAGCGAATGAATATTATGGAAATAATTTTTCTTCTTCCGGAATGATGTGTATATAAGATATTAACCAAAATTTAAAAAACTCAATGTATGAATGTATATATGTATGTAGTGATTGGATCACTGATATGTGGATGAATAAAAATCCAAGAAAAATCAATGTGTTCAGCCGACGCTATTAGGCAATAATGATGGTAATTGAACTATGCTAATGATTGTAAACGTTAACGTAATAAAATATAATAACATAATTGATGCAGAGCAATTAATATTAAATCAGTTGAATGATAATGAATGAAAAACGATATGATAATAATAATTATCCTTATTATTGAAACTTCATTAATATAGAACATGAAACTAATTAGAATCGTTTAAAAATTACATATTAAAGTAAAATAAAATAAATGATATAAAACGAAGAAAATTAACTGCATCTGCTACACTAAAAACTTTGACACACACACACACACGCACGCACGCGCACACACAACACACAGAAACAGAAACACACACAAGCACACAGACAATGATGATGTATATGTGTAATCCATTGCCCGCACAACTTATACAAGTTCTCTTGTGACATTATAACATCACAAATCTCTAACAAATCTGTATTGTAAATATTATAAAATTGTATGGACAATTTGTGATTTCATTACACAACAATTCTTAAACCTCATTTAATAAAATTTAAATAGCATCACATTTAAACTTAAGCTGTTTTTAAAACCCAATTCAAACTCAAAAACAACGAAATACAACTAATCAAAATTTATCATGGTTAAAACTCAACCAATCAAAAATGTCAACCGACCAATCTACATTTCAAAACAAGAAAATCAAACTGATACACCATCAACTCATAAACCATTGAACCTATTGAACCAACCAATAATTGTCAAACAATAAACGTCAACAATCATTTTTAACAACCAACCAATCAGCCAACCAACCAACCAAACCAACCAATCAACGGACCGACAGACCGACCGGCCAACTAACCTATAAATCTACAAATCACTTTCCCCATAAAGTCCCATGGAGAATGATGTGTAGTCGAGAGCGTCAGGGGGAGCATCGGGTCCCTTGTACTGGGTCATCCGACGAATGCAATATTCAGCCTGCTCTGGTGGCATTTCTGATCTCAGTGCTTTTGGTGTTATGTAAGGCTGCAGGGGAGAAATAATAAAGGATTAGCTAATTAAATATTTAGTCTTATAATAAAAAAAATTTTCATTTAATTAGAAATAAATTTTAATGGTAAACAAAAGAGAAATATCAAGTAAACCTAAAATTCAACCGTGAACCATCAAAACCCAAAAAATAAGCAACAAATAACAGCACTCCAAGCATTAGAGATGAGATGAAGGAAGATTATTAAACCTGATTGCCAGAAAGAATTTTAAAAGATTCAATGATCTGGTCTGGTGAATCAGAATCTGTATTCTCCATGGTCATGAAGTCCAAAAAGGCATCGAAGGTCACGTAACCATTATGATTTGGATCAACTTTCTGGAGAATTTTCTGAAAATCTGCATCACCCTGAAAAAGAAGCAATTAAAATCGCTATTAGATGTACATTGCGAGTAACAATAAGAGATATCATCAACGAAATAAACAAATTTAAAATAGTGACCATCAACAAAGAAATGATAACAAAACAACGGACCATGAACAAACAAAGAAATGATAACAAAACAATGGACCACGAACGAACAAAGAAATGATAGCAAAACAACGGACCATGAACAAACAAAGAAATGATGACATGCCTGTTTATCATCACGAATGCTGCGACCAAGAGATACGAGACAAGCTTTGAACTCCTTGGGCTCGAGATATTGGTTCTTGGATCGATCAAAGTGATTGAAAGACTTGCGACATTCGTCAATGAGCTCATGACTGATGCCTCTGGAATCTCTCATGAGTATCTGGTTCTGTAACTCGTTGATGTTTCGAGACACGGAGGTCACTAACTGATCCCAGTTAACTCTTATCGTCTGCAGTTCATTTTTTTAAAAGTTAAATTTCTGATAAAGTATTTTATGATGGTAAAATTTGAAAAAATAACAAGTATATTGAGGCAATTATAACACCAATTAAAGTTTCATATCCTGGTGTCATAAAATTTTCAGAATGAAGCTGAAGTTTTAATTGAGAAGCATTTTAATTGCCTAGCTAAAAATTATCACTGATCAATTTTTAAATATATTAACTTCAAAATTTAAAGCAAACACAAACTAACTGAATCAGGGTTATAATTTTAAAAAGATGTATATAAAATAAAAATCACAAGCCTGCACATACACATGTTCCCACGCATGATACAAAAAATGATACACAAATAATTAAGCATTCAATAACACAAGTGTCCAATGGATAAAGAGGCAAAGAAATAAAGAAAGAGACCTCCATAGTGTATCTGGCGTGTTCGTTCTTAAATATCCTTGCCTCTTGAACTTCTTGATTGCACTTCTCTAGTTGTTCAATTTGGGGTTTGTTGGCAGAAACTTCCTGTTCCAACTTGATGAGAGATTGCTGGTGATCTTCAAGAGTGCCCCTCTTCACCCCCAGGTCGGATATGAATTTCAACTTTTGTTCAATCCACGGTCCGAGCGTGTTGGCCTGCTGAGCAAACTGCATGCGGAGGTGGTCGTTACGCTGCTGTCTGGTCATTTCTGCCTGCAATATTTGATCTCGTGCTGGCACCAGCTTCTGAAATTCTTGCCACTTGTATCGCAGTTCCTGTGCGTTCAAATATATGTATCTGCTAATCATATCATTATATTATGTTAAGTTAAATTAAAGTTGTGAAAATTGTCGGCTACAAGTTTGCTAAACCATTTGTTAATCATTTAGTACAGTACTAAGCAATAAAAAATTTAGCAGGGCAATAAAACTTGTCGCAAACAGATGATAGAAAACTGACAATGTGTAAATGTCATTGAATATCATTTAAGTAGCTGCTGTGTAAATGAATAATAATTAGATGTAGTACATTCTAATTTGTAAAGAATACATAAAAGATAAGATTAAAATATTTTAACGTTAAGAAAAGGAAGGAACCAACTTTTGGCTGAGTAGATGTGAATGGATTCTCCATGTTGATCTGCAACTTGTACTTCTCACAAATCCTGTCCACCTCCTCAGTTAAACTGATCGTCTCTTTCAACTCCTTCTCCGCATCTGGGAGCGTTTCCTTGAACTTCTTTTGCGAATTCAGCAGTGCCTAGTTCATTGGTCGGTCGGTTAGTTAGTTGATTAGTTGGTTGATTGGTTGGTTGCAAGGGAATCGTTAATTTAAATTCAACTGATCTGTTGTTGATATTACATTGTGAGATGTGGTCTCACAGATTAAACCCACTTAGCAGGCATTATTCAAGTTAAATTCAAATAGATAAGTAAATTGTGCAAAAAGTTATTATGTATTAATATAAATATAAAACTGTTATGAATTGTATGGATGTGACACTTGTATCCTAACAGTAAACTACTAAAATGAAAGTAGAATGAATGTATAAATAAATGAATTTATGAATGAACGAACGAATGAATGAATGATGAACGGATGAACAAACTTCTATCTCTTCAATGCTGTGCACATTGAAAATGTCTTCCAAGTCTTCTCTTGTTGAATCCATCCAGCTGTTCAAATGCTGATGAGGCAATTTATCAATCAGTCAATCCATCAATCATTGTTCAATCCATCAATCAATCAAACCATCAAGCAGTAATTCTATTATATTTCCCACCAAAAGAATGCAAATAATTTAATCAAAATTGAGAAACAGCAGGGGGGAATATGACAAAAAGAAAGCTTACAGCGGCCCTCTTAGCATATTCCAGCTGTAACTGATCAATTCTTTCCAATACATTCTCAGATTCCTGATTAAGAAATCATTTCATTTTTTAACAATTCTATTTTTATTATTTTTCAGAGGCATCAAAAACAAAACACACATGCCTGAAAAATGATAACAATTAATTTGTTTTTAATTTGAGCATTTACTGAATAATAATGGTTGAAAAATATAATTATATTGTTAACCATCCTCATCAATTTATCTGTATTATTTACCAATTATTATCAAATTAAATTTCATGCATTGTCTAGCTTTTGTCACAAGCAGTTAGAAATATAGGCCTAAAATATTTAACGCAGATGTTGCATATTGAATGAACATTTGAAAATAAAAAAAAATTTTAAATTATTTGAACTTTCATAATGAAGAATTAATTAAAACAATTAAAAATCATAGTGAAGGTGCTGAAAAATAAATGAAAAACACAATACCTCAAGCTTAGCTTTGTAGGCAATGGACAGCTCGCCCAAAACACCCCACTGTTCACATAGCTGCTGAGTTTTCTGATTGGTCGATTTCAAATTGCAATAACCCAAGGCACTGTTTGTCAGTAGAGGTGTGAGATGTTTGTTTAATTCATTTGAATACAGGAAGATAAATAATATTTGCAACGAAAAATAGAAACTGTCAAGAAACAAATAAATATTTAACAACAACTATGTAGTACACAACAACATGCAACAAATAAATAACAAGTGCACTAATAAAAACAAATAAAACTGAGTAACAATACATGAAAACAAATGAATAAACACAAACATGTGCTTGAACGTACCAGTGTGTGTGTGTGTGTGTGTGCGTGCGTGTGTGTGTGTGTGTGTTTAAATAAGCAAACAAGATATGTTAGTACAAACTTGAGTTCTTGGGCAATGCCATTAATATGTTCAATACGGTCCTGATGTGCTGCCAGATCACTTTCAAAGGCTTCATGCTTCTTCCTAAGTGCCTGTCATGTTATTTATTACCCTTCAAGCATTGAATAGACGTACAAACACATGTGTATGATACCCATGAAACAAGGTTACAGAAAATCTAGAAATATCTAATACAAATAAAAAATATTATAACAACTAAACAGTAACGACAACAACAACAATGGCACTTAAAACAGCATGGCACAAATGGAACACAACACGACAACACATGCAATGGAATTAATTAGAGACTTGTACATCAACAGTATAAACATAATTGCACAACTACACAACAAAAATATAGGATGAAGTATCAAAGGTTACAAAGCAATTAAATATTAAACTGAACAAACTAAAGAATTTAAAGAATTGTGCACAACAACATTAAACAACAAAACGTCCAATTATATGATGATGCTAGAGACAAGATAGCAACACATCACGCATAACCAACCTTAACTTCATCGAGTCTACACTTTTTGTATTCATCACTCGTCAACATCTCTTCTTTTCCGTTGGCCCATGACACATGCTTGTCATACTTCTGCTTGAACTTCTTTTCAAGGTGAGCTATACGCTCCAATCTAAAATGTTTTTTGTCCTATTTAATCAGCTGCAAATTATGTGGTTAGAAAAGTTACATCTTTGAAATCTCATTTTAAAATCATAAAACTATGATTAATTATTATTAATAGAAAAATAAATAAAATAGAGCATAAAGAGATAAACATTAAAAAAAAAGCTGAGGAAAAAAAGCAGCAGGACACCTCTGCAGTTGAGACAGTAACCAGTCCTCAAAACCTTTCTCTGATTCCTCAAGCTCCCTCCACGCTACCGCAATGTTCTGCATTCAATGATGAATACAACTAACCATGTCATGCCATTTTCACAAAAATCATAAGTATAACTAATTAACTGTTGAAAACTTATTATGCTTTACTATAAATAACCCCTTCAGTTTCAATTGTTAGACGGAAATTAGTAATTGTTACCAACTTAAAATTACTAGTCATCAGTTCATGAGAATAAGTTATTGTTACTCATTAACTTAAGAAGAAAATATTCAAAATGGCAATGAAGAACAATTTTAGCATTAGGAGGAAAGTCCAAATACAAATTAAAAATTAAAATGTTAAATGTAAAGACAAGTGTGTATGTATGTAGTAAAGAAAATATATGGCTAATAAATCCTTCAATTATTTTTGAATAAAAATGAAAAAACAAAAGTAACTAAAAAAACAACCTGAATGAGTTTTCCTTCAGATGGCAGGTAGGCAGGTCTATTTGAGAGCCTCAACCTAGTTTGCAGTGAGTTGTACATGGTCTCCAACATGCTCTTCTCGTCGAGACGTGGAGGTTTCTGGTGACTTCTGTACTCTCTGAACTCCTCAAATTTCTTTTGAGTGGCATCGATTGATTGGATTTGTGATCTGTTCTCCAGCCATGGTTTCGTTCTGGCAATCCACTCCAGCAGCTGTCAGTCAGAATGAGTGGAAGATACATTTAAATCGCTCAGTCTAAAACAAATCATTCGAAAAAGAACAAAAAAATTGTATACATCTCATCAAACTACAGGCACTGAAAATGTTGACTGCATAATAATCATTATAATAATGACTTTACAAATGTTAAATGGAAAGACTGGGACGAATAAACTAACATCAGAAGCCAGTTTTTCATATTCTTCCATGAGTCTCTCATTTTCTTGGTTGATCTTTAACACCTTGCATATTCTGTTGGCTGCCGTTTCAGCCTGTAACAAATTTGTTTAAAGCTATGCACAACTAAGCAGACATAACAATGAATGGAGGGATGTGTGGATGATAGAATGAGTGTGTTTATTTTAATGGGTCCAAAAATAAGTAATAAAAATAGAATGCATATCTTTATAAAACTTTTACAATCATATGTAGCATCTCACCTTTAATATCTTGAATATTTTTTCTAAAAAAAATGACAAATTAAGCTAAAGCTATGTCCCTTCAATTGATACATCAACTACGTCACATACGATGTAATCATGTAATCCTTCCACTCAACTAAATAAATGCTCACAAATGATAAGTAAGTAGCAAGCTGATGTTGATGACTGCACTGCACAATTATGCAAGGAATGCACTTTAGAAATCATTAACCAGCTTCTCATTACTAGTGATATGCAATTCCAACCTTATTTATTCATATGTTTTCTTTTATTTCTCTATTTTTTATTCATTTCTATTTATATACTTGCCTGGATTTTTACTGTAAACCTAATTACAATTGCTTACTACTGCATATAATATCAAAGAGGAAAATTTTACAAAATAGTTCTAAATAATACAAAAAGTTAATGTAAACAGTTAGAAATGTTGTCAATTCTTTCACATAAATGAATGCACATATGTTGTGCACTTCATATACTTTTGTTTGTTTGTTTGTTGTAAAAAATATTTGATTATGTGATTGTAGACATCTTTAAATAAAATAAGACTTCAAATGAGGTACTTGATGAAATAAAAAATATTAATTATTATTAGCATGCAAAACTCAAAATGCTTTACATCACATGCAAACTATTTAAAAACTATAAGAAACAAATGAAAAACAATATTGAATACTAATTTTTTTTCTCTCATAATGTGATCTCAAAAAAAATTGTTCATATGAACTTTCTAAAATGTATTATGCTGGCATTTACTGGTTAATACACCTGCAAAGCTGTTTAAAGTTAAGACTTAAAATATAACAGACAGTTATTGTTGGCTTGCATTTGTTAAACTATATTGTATGCTCCAAGCTTTGAATGTAACTTAAATGAATTCATTGAGAAACTTTTTAAACTCACTAACTGACTTTACAATAAAATATAACTGAATGCAATCTATTAAAAATTAAAAAGTGCATATGATGCCTACAATGTGGATGATGAATGAAGCATACAGATAACTTATCAATACCTGTTGTGCTCCAGAGAATGCATGATAGTAAGATGATACATAGGCCATCACTGATCTCTCATCTGGTTTCACTGAGTTCACCATGTCTATCAAGGTTTATATTATAATCTTTCACAAATCATCACTGAAACAACAACTAGATGGCGCCATGGATGCAAACATACAATCAAAACAAGTAAACAAACATAGAAACAAACATACATGCAGACAAACATATATACATACAAAACAAGCAATTTAGAAAACATGCGAACAGCAAACAAACAAACATATTAATCGCAACTTACCATCAACATCCAACATGCGGGGTATGTCCAGATGTTTCTCAGCCAGATCAAAGGCTGTCGTCAAGTTAGTTCTGGCATTTTCCTAACCATTCATAAATGTTATTATCATTTTAAATAAAAATAAAAATATAAACATTATTTAGTCAATAAACTCATGACAAGCATTAAACTAAATTAAAAACCCATAAATATATATTACATAGAATTATTTAACCTAAATTATTCACCAAAGTACATAAATTAGTTTCTTGTCATCAATGCCATCGAGCCTTGCTATCATCTCATTAGCATATTTCCATTTCCATTGCATATGATAAGTAGGTAACTTGCAGAAATTTGATCTCACTCAAAAAATTAAACCACACCCAAGACGGACGACGATGCAAAATAAACCGCAATCACAAATCCAACTAGAATATTTTTCAAAAAAAAATTATGACAACTGACTTTTGAAAGTTTAGAGTAATCTAGGAGATCAGGTCTGTGCCTGTGGATGAGGGCACAGAATGCCAGGCCATCCTTGAAGCTGAAAATATTTTAATAATTATACTACTACTACTACTAATAATAATAATAATAATAATAACAATGTTTAATTTAATTATAACTTCTTGATCTGTTCTTTTAAAATTTAACTTTAACCAACCAGATCAAATGAATGTGTAAATGATAAATGTGTAAATAGTAGATGAGAATAAATTGAGAAACAAGTACATTTCCAAAAAGAGATAAAAAAATAATTTATTTTTAAAATGTTACAGAATTAAGAACTAATCTAAATAGATGATATCAATAATGGCTCAAACAATTACATCTTTTTAAAAATACAATTTTAAAATTTTGAAAAACAATCATGAAAATTTAAAATTAAATGATGAAATAAAATACTTCTCTAATAGAATGCATCAATAATTATCAATGATCCAATGAAAGTTTTCAAAAATGGAGGCAAGAAAAGTAAAATATAGATAGAATCACATTAGAATCACATACCTGAGATGAAAATTTTGTACATTTACATTTCTATAAGGCTGAGTTTTTCTTTGGCACCATAACAGCAAACCTTCTTTAGCTGTGAAGTCTGTGTAGATTTAAATTCAAATTAAATGAATCCCACCACCTTTAATATGTATAATTCATTCACATCATAGGTATCAATGTTTATCTAGTTTTTTATCAGTTAAGCAGTGTTACAGTCCTATTTACCTGAACAAAACATTTAGAAATTCACATTTAAACTAGAGTAATAAATTAATGATGAATTGAACCTTCGACAGAAATATCTTGAATGGCAAATCTCAAAATGATTGTCCATATCATACCTAGGGTCATCTTCAAATTTCCATCCACAATTTCTTTGCAATAGAATCAGAAAATTAGCAACATTTATGGCTTATGCTATCAATAAAAGAGAGTGTGTAATGTAATACAAATGAAAAGTAAATAATTTTCAATAATAAATGTGGGTTGCATTAATTTTTACTTAATAACCTTCAGCTCCAATTGAGACTAGTTTGACTCCTTTACTTTCGATGAAATCAAGAGCCTTGTTCACGTTGGCAATTTTATGGAAACGCATTTTTCCTCTATCAGGCTTAGGAAGTTGTTCGCCAGAAATGACTTCTAACAAGAGCATCAACTTTAACCCATCTCTGAAATCCTCTTCAATAACTTCTATCTGGGTTCCAACTTTTCTCAAATGGGAATTACACCAAGCTGTGAAGGTCTAGAATTAAAATTTCAAAAAACAATAACAAACTATCATTTATTGTTAAGGCTAGGTAGATCTTATTTATACTTATCCCAATTGGCACAGATAGATTTATATTTATTATATAAATTTATTATATAAATAAATATAAAAGTATTGACATTTAAATCTGTTACTGTTTATTTTCTCTATTTCAAACTAAATACTAAATAAAATCATTCATCTAACAATGGTTATCCATCAGTGATTAATTAGTTAGTGTTACAGGGTAACACTTGATAATTGTTAGTTTAATTTATTAAGGAAATCTAAAAAGTTAACTAAATAATCCCAACTGATTCAATTTAACTATAAGTATATAAATTAAAGTGTAATAAAAATAAATATGAGCAATTCAACACACTAATCTAATCTGACTAATGCTAATGGCTAATCAAGTTGAAATTTATTATTGTTACTAGTCAGGCAAAAATTATTTTAAAACAAAACTCTGAAGAACAATTTAGTAAATCAAAACTCTGAAGAACAATTTAAAATTCATTCAAAACAATGAATTTTATTATTCATTACAATGGGCATAAGTTTAGTTTAGTAGCTAGATGGCCATATAATATTTTTATTTAAAAATTTTTAACATTGAGAGTCAAGTCAAGAGAAACTAAAATACTAAAATACTTTTTTTTGTTGCTTCTCCCAAGCAGGATCGAGTAAACCTTCGCGTTCCCACTCATCTTCCTGCTCCATATAATCTGACTTCCTCCAATTCGACATGTTTAAAATAACTTTTTTATCCACAGATTTCAACTTTCAAAACAAACGAGTAGGCGACTTTAAACACGCAATCAAACTAAACTATGATAAAAATCCGGAAATATTGAATAAAGTACAGGGGGGTTAGCTTTCAGACGCGTTTTTATTTTCTTCATGTATATTTCAAACCGCAGTAGCACCGAATATATTATTACCATAATACAGTTGGACTCCATTTCGTTATGTAGAAATTTTTCATACAACGAATTTGAAGGTTCCAGGAAAAAATTCACTATATAGAAATTTTGTTATAAAAAATTTGTTTCTCCGTTATAAAGAATTTGTTTGGAAAAAATTCTATACTGCTTAAAAAGGTATTTATATGTTATATATGTATGAAAAACAATAAGTAATAATACATAGGAAAATATGTGTTATGCTTTATTCTGGTAATTTTATTGGTATCATTTACTTCTTCTCTGATAGCACTTTGGTCGACGTGTTGTCGATTTCTCTGAATAATTTTTTTTTACAAAGTAGGCAACCTTTGAAGAGTGTTGTATAAAGCAGTATCGGTCTTATTGGCACATACATTATAAGAGAAGCATGCATTTGCTGGTTGTAGCTTTATTGTAAATGACGAAAGCTTTCTCAAACATTTGAAAATATAACGATTTGCCTCATTAATACTACCTTTGGCTGCATGCAAAACTTAGTAGAATAAGTTATATCCTCTGCACCATGGTCGCTGTAGTATATGATATAGTATTTAATATTTTGAAATTAGCGCTAATTAATTTACTTTATTAACTATTAACTAAAATGTACTTTTAGTCATTAGATAATGGCGACAACTGTCAACTTGTGCGAGGCTCCGGATTGTAACAAAGAGGCAAAACTGCGGTGTCCCACGTGTGTCAAGCTGAAACTAACGGGGGCTTTTTTTTGTTCTCAGGTATTTTTGTTGTGGTTTTTGTATTAATGTCTACAATAAATTAACATTGATCAAAGATTCAAAGTTAAAAAAAATTGTAAATTAAATTTACTTACAATATAATTTTTTTTTTTATTATTATAATATGTATAATGTATATTTATTGTATGTGCACCTTTATTAATTACTTTTTATTATAAATTATCGATATGGTCTAGTTTATTTACTTAACTTGATTTGATGCAGCAATGACCAATCAAATATATACATTTTTTTATTTTATATTCATGATCACAAAAGCATCATACATACAATATATACATACATACACAAACACATCTTAAAAGCTTATGTATCATTATTTAATTTGTCATAACATTGCTTTATTTATCATTTGAAAATGATTTTTTCATTTATTCTCAAACTTTAAAAACGAAATTTATGTAATTACATATTGATAAATAAAAATTAAATATTAAATACAAATACATATTTATTTATAAGTATATATATATTTATATTTATTTTTTTATTTTATAAATACATGAACAGAATGATTTGAAGCAGAGGTGATTACGTTTGTTACATAATCTATCTCAACCTAATTTGCAGTCTCACTACAATTGTAATTCTGTTTTTTTTTTAATTTGTCTAATAAGTAAAACTAATTTAAAAAGTTTAGACATGATTTGCTACCCTGTCCTATACCATACACTGGTAATCCTTTTTCTTCTTTCCTCTAATACCAAAAAAGTTTAACAAACGGTCTTGGTAATTTTATAATTACTCGAATGAAAATTGATTTTTTTTCTATTAAAGTTGTATTTTCTAGTTTGCTAATTTTTTTATAAAGGAATGCTTCAAAAGTAGCTGGAATACCCATAAACTAGTTCACAAGAAAGCAGGTATTTACATTATATTTAATTAAAATTTAAATAGTTTATTGATATCACAATTTTCATGGATATATGAGCTTGTTGCTTTATTGTTTTAACTAATTTAATTATTGTTACATGCATGCAATTAATAAATGAAAATTAGTATTTAAAGCTAGATTATTCTTAACTTACATTTTAGTTGATAATGGGGAATTAGCCTGTAATGAAGTTTACAATCCATGGCCTAATTTTACATTCTCTGGATTACTGAGACCTTACCCTGTTGTATGTTCATCCTTATTTTTTATCCAGCATTTCTATTGGTTTTAGTTGAAGATTTTTATAACCTAATGAAACATAATATTGATTAAATCAAATGTCCACCATTTTATGCAGACGCCACCTAGGAAAGTACCTGACCATATAGAGAAACCGGACTATGCCACTCAATCAGATGGTATGGACGTGGAACTGCTGTTGCTTATCTGCTTTTCAACTTTTGATTTTTACATTAATAGAGTGTTTCATTTTTACATTTTTTCAACTACTTTTCTTATAACTTTTAAGTTGTATATTTTCCCCAAATTAAGGTTTTCCAGCGAGTGAGAGAGCAGTGAAAGGATCAACAAACATTGATGTACTCACAGATGAAGAGCAGGAGAGTATGAGGGTTGTTTGCAAGGTTTGATCAGATTCTACCTATTTCTATTTATTTCATTTTTTACATTCTCTTCTGCTGCTGCTACAAAAAAGTTTTTTTATCAATTTTCTATTGATTGATTTTAGTTTAATATTTTTACAATGTTTGTAATGTAAATATGGTTTAATTATGTTTGTTGCAGATAATTTTTTTTTCATGAATAAAATAACATTACTAACCAAGCTAAATGTTAAGGTATAATGTTAATATAAATGTTAATGTTGATGAAAAACTTTTTCACTTGAATTGAAAGTTGGGCAGAGAAGTGCTAGAGGAAGCATCAAAAGTTGTAGCGGTTGGCATGACAACGGATGAAATTGATAGAGTAGTTCACGAGGTAACTATATACTATATTTTCGGTATTATCTTTTGTTTTTGCCAATCATAATACTACACCCAAATTTAAGTACATTTTTATTAGCTAATGAATAGTTTAAAATTTTCTAAATATAGAAGGGGAATTTTGGAAGGGGACTTTGAATGATGATGGTAGGTAGGATAGGATATCGAGGTTTGGCATGCCATGATGGCTCTATGTGTGTGATGCAGTTTTCACACGTATCTATATACGCCGTGTTTGTCTTTGTTTGTCGTTGATACCTCTGAAGCAAGTGCAAAAGGGAGAATTAACTGCCTTTAAACTTTTAATCTTTAACTGTTGTTAATTTTCCAGGCTTGCATAGAGAGAGATTGTTATCCATCTCCACTGAATTATTACAACTTTCCCAAGTCCTGCTGCACGTGAGTTTTATGTTATTTTTCCTGTAGGTATCGTAATTTTGTCTTTTTGTGCGTGTTTTATACGTGTTTTGAGGTGATGGATAAATCTTTTAATGGTTTTAAAGATCATAAAAATGGTTTATTTATCGTAAGGTCTCTCAATGAAGTTATTTGCCACGGTATCCCTGATCTAAGACCTCTTCATGATGGTGACATATTGAATGGTTATTTTTATTTTTTTTATTTTTTATTTTTTCCGAATGCTATATTTTCTTCATTAAGCATTTATTTAACATTTATTTAAATTTGATTAAAAATTATGGTAACTCGCTGATCGTCAAATTGCTTTTCATTTCTCCAGTCGACATAAGTGTGTTTCACAGAGGTTTCCACGGTGACCTGAATGAAACATTTTTTATTGGAAATATCAGTGCAAAAGCCAAAACGCTTGTCAGGGTTACTAATGAATGTCTTAAAAAGGCTATCGAAATAGGTTAGCTTTGTGTAAAATAAAATCTTCCTTAATTATATTTCCTCCAAAGTTAGATTCTGCTTTCGTTGTTTTGTTTTTCAACTTGAATATATTTTCTAGGCGCAGATTTTTTAGATACCTTTCAAGATGATATGCTTGTAAAAATTTATTATTGAGTGAAAACAGCCCAGTTTAGTGCTATTTAAGTATCTGACGGTTATGCTGAATGAAACCAATTTTCAGACACTGTTGGATCGTTTGGAAATATGAATCATTTGGGCTATGTTAAATAAGTTTAAAAATTTTATATCAGTAAAGCCAGGTGTAAAGTATAGAGAGATTGGTGATGTCATACAGAAGCATGCTCAGTCACACGGGTTTTCAGTTGTCAGAACATATTGTGGTCACGGAATACATAAGTAAGTGAATAGATAATTTTTTGTTTCTGCGGTCATTAATCACTGAATGTTTGGTTTTTTTTAACTTCAATTTGTTCAACAGACTTTTCCACACGGCACCAAGTGTACCACATTATGCCAGTAAGTTAATAACATTTTTTAACTTGCAAACATTTAGTAAAAGATATGAGTTTAATTCGTTTTTAAATTTATAAAAAAATAATTCAGAAAACAAGGCAGTAGGAATCATGAAGGCAGGTCATGCATTCACAATTGAACCAATGATATCCGAAGGTTATTTATTATTTAAAAATTTCCAATGTTCACAATTATCAAGTGAAAAGTTGTTGATTTATTGTTGTTGAGTCGTTTTTAGATTAATACTATAAAACTGTATCACCCATCTTTACAATAGAACAGTTAATTTAAAGTTTTACTCTGAAAAAACCGATTATCCACAGGAACGTGGAGGGACAACACGTGGCCAGACAACTGGACGTCTGTCACTGTTGATGGAAAGTTGTCCGCTCAGTTCGAGGAAACACTTCTTGTCACTGATTCTGGCTGTGATGTTTTGACTGCAAGGATTAAAAATAATGGACGACCGTACTTTATGGATTGATTTTATTGATATTTAAATATTTTTACAATAAATTTTTATGTCAACAAACATGTTGTTAATTTTCTTCACGTGTAGTGTAAGGAGAAATAAGCCATTCGTAGATTGGGTTTTTCAGCATTTGCCAACGTGAATATTTGCAAAACCGTCCATCTTAAAATTTGTGAACGCAGCAAACGTTATGACTTGGCAGAGAAATCAGAACATTAACGTTTAAGTAAGCAACTCGTTTTCAATAATTACATAATTTATTGAGACAAAACTTTGGTAAGTAGCTTAATTTACTATATCATCGCCACATTCCAAAATAAATCAAACTAAGGTGTGGCTGTACATCTATACTTATGATCATTTTTTATACCCTGGTTATTTATATATATATAATATATATATACATATCATGATCGGTTATATTGATGTCTCGCATTGCATTGTTTTACTATCCGACTATCGCACCAACATAAACTGATTAAAAATTTGAGGTAACTGAATAAGTAGATAGGACTACTTAAATATGCAAAAAAGAGTGACTAGTTCAATTCTAATCCTATAGTGGATCAGTAAGCCACTGTATTTCACCAGACAAAGCAATTTCTATATTATCAAAAACAATTGATTTATTTAAAGCATCATATGTACAAAAACCGCTATCATTCAGTTGTATGAGATCAGGTAAGCCACTGCAGTAAACCAACGTATGATTTCAGCAACCAATTTCTATGAGCACTAGAATGTAAAATATTCATTGAATATAAAGAAGATAGTTGTTCAAATAACAATTTTGATCTATTTACGCCGTTTCTTATTTTACAAGCAAACAAAAGTTTTAGCAAAATCGAACTGGGTAAAAAAAAGAGTGGCTATAGCTCAATCCTAGTAAACCAACCTATTTTCAGATTTCACCGGACAAAAATGCAATTCTTATATTCAAATTAACATAAATAATTTAATAATACATAATTCTATTTAATAAGATTAGATAGAATTACCACATTGTTTTAGACATAAAACAACAAGGTTTTTTTTTAGGTTTAAGTCAAGTAAATGGTTCATTTAGATAGCTCGTTGAAACCCCTGCAATTTCTTAAGCCAGCAAACCATGGAAGTCAAGTAGCCCGACCCTATTGTTCCATAGCAAATTTTAAACTTTAATCAAGGTCTTTCAATAGTAATAAATAAAAGTTGACGGTCTGTTCGCTTGGTCTTTTCGTGTTCATTTTTTAACAAAATAAAGTTATTCCGTAAAGAAATGTCGATTAGTCATTAGTCAAAGCATACTTTGTGTTGTAAAGTAAAGTAAAAAAAACTTGCTAAAAAATTTCTTGTGGGGTGAGGTGACTGACCTAGTTCATCTTCATTTTTAAGTTGCTATTACTATTGAAATTTTAATAGTATTAATAATTAATTATATTATTAATATAATATTTATATTTATAATATAAGATAAGGTCATATTGTATGTTACTGTTACTTAGTAGTAGTCTGTAGTGTAGGTGTAAAATGTAAATAATATAAAATATAAATGAATGATAAAAAACCACAAAAGTTTATTCGTATCTTCATCTGTTTTTTAATTTATTCGACTAAAATGTCAGTTTCTCTTTCTTTTATACCTGCACTTGAGCAACTGTCGACGAGAGTTATTAGAATTTTAGGTTGTAATCCGGGTCCATTCACTCTGCAAGGTACAAATACCTACCTCATTGGCACTGGAAACAAGTTTGCACATTTTTGATCATATAGTAAAGTTTATCTATTTGTAATAAAAATCAGCTTAAACAAGCTTCTTAGCAATGCCATATTATACTTGTATCTTATCTTTTTAACTTTATAATATTGTAATTACTTATTAATTAATTAATTACAAATCTACATTCTTTTTTAATTTTGTTGGTAAGAAAGTATAACTTTGTTGAACAAATCATGCTGTTATTAATTATTTTTTTTATCTTTTCAAATTTTACATTTATTTTGTATATTTATTTATAATTTAATTAAAATTATTAAAATATCAGACTTTTAGACAAAATTTTTTGAAATAAAATCTCACTTTTAGGCGAATACTTTTAGACACAGGTGAGTCAAACAATGCAAATTATTTGGAAAACTTGGTTAGCATCTTGAAGCAGCACAATTCAACAATAAAGGAAGTGATAATCACTCACTGGCATGGAGATCATATTGGTGGAGTGCCTGCTGTATTCAACAGATTCAATGGTCATTTATTTCAACACTAAACATTAATAATTTATTTTGAATTCTTTCTTAATTTTTATTTTATGATGATTTATTTGATTGTTTTTTAAATTTTAATTTATTTCAGATTCAAGTTTGAAAATAAATAAGTTCAAAAGACTGTCAAAGCCAGATGAGAAATTAGAGAATAACATACCGATAAATTATTTAGAAAATAATTCTGTCCTAAGTGTTGATGGTGCCACATTGAAGTTTGTGATTGTTAGTCTTTTTTAAGAAAAATAAATTATATGTTGAATTTTTATTTATAATTTCACTAGTAATTTTTTTGGCCATGTTGATTTTTTCTAATTCAGTATAATTCTTTGTTTTTTCACAGCTATCAAATTTTTTTTTAAATTCTGATTTAGATGAAAGTTTTTTCAATCTCATTCTATGTAGCATACGTTGTCCTTTAAACTTTTTGTCATCTTTTTTTTTCCCAACGATGCAGAACCATCTACACGCCAGGCCATACAGACGATCACATGTCTGTCCTCTTACACGAAGAGAATGCATTATTCACTGGTGACTGTGTGTTAGGGGAGGGAACATGTGTTAGATTGTATTATTTTCATTCAATGCAGCTGAAACTTTTTAATTCATTCATAATAAATTCATATTTGATAGTTTGTTTTCCTTTATAATGTGAATGTCGTTTTTATATTTTTTTTTCTGCTGTTTTTGTAAAATTATTTTCATTTTGTTTACCTGCTAGTCCTTGGGCGAATAATGTCGTTATTGTATTAGTGATTAATTTTTCCAGATAAAAGCAAATGGGATAATTTTGCCATTTTGAATTTAATATTGAATCAATAGATGCCAGCCAACAAACACGTTGAAATGAAACATACGCAGGTGTTTGAAGACCTTCACTCCTACATGAACTCTCTGGAGTTGATCAAAAGTCTCAACCCGTCCGTGATCTACCCCGGACACGGGGCCGTCGTGAGGGACCCGCAGCAGCACGTCAGTGCCTATATCGCCAATCGCAATAACAGGGAACAACAAATCGTCAATGCATTGAGTGACTATGCTGAAAAAACGCCAATGCAAATTGTTGAAATCGTTTATAAGGTTTGTTAATTGACAGTGGTCATTTAATTAATTTGTCTTAAGTTTAGTGTAATTAATTTCTAAATGATATTCAACTAAAATTATTATAATATGCACAGACGACGCCAAGACATCTCTTCCCAGCTGCTGAAGGCAACGTCATCCATCATTTGAACAAACTATTGAAAGATAACTTAGTTGGTATGTAACGTTAAGTGTAGCTTTTAATTATCGATAAATCATTGGTATTCTTATATTTTATTATCAATGATATATGTTTTTATTGGTATCCAGTGTGATAATCTTCTAATTTGTCTATTTTTTTACAGAAAAGATAGAATCTTCAAATGAAACGAGATGGAAATTGTTGAATAAATCGAAATATTGATTACATTTTGTGGCTGTATAAATCATGGATATTTATTATAACGCAAAAATTAGTTTTACACAAACACCGGTTTCACTAGCTTGGTTTGCTTCGGGCGACGTCTGTCAATACTACTTATTTTCATTTATTTCGTAGTTATATGCGCGTGTTTGCGCTCTGTAGTGTACGTGTAATACGTTTTATACGTTAAAACAATTTGCGTGTACAGCAAATTAAACGAGCACAGTAAATATTTTTAACCATACTAATCCATCTCTTATTTTGCAACACATTTTAAATTCATTTTTAGTTGTAATCTGCTCGTTCGTGTTTGCCTTTCTATTTAATAAGTAATTAATTTAAAAAAATGTCTCTTATTAGAACAATCAAATTTTTAGACGAATTTAAATTATTTAACAACATAAATTATTTTGATACATCGCGATGTCTCCTACTTACCAATTTTACCGTTTATGCTCTGGTTATTATTAATTTGCTAATTAATTTAATTAATTTTTTACCATTCATGCTCTGGTTATTATTAATTTGCTAATTAATTTAATTTTTTAAAATCACTGTTGGTTTAGTATTTAGTTAGTGTTTAGTTTAGTTTTTTAAAAAAACTAATTAAAAATCTACCCTGGTTGAATCATAACTGAATTAGAATTTTCTTCCTAGTTTTATTTTTTTTTTGACATTATAAAAAAAATGTTCGAATGTGTTATTAAATTAAAATCACTTCATTGATTATGACATGTCAATTCAATTTGATTTGGCCAGACATGTCTTATAAATAAGCTTTTTAATTTAATTTATTTATAAAATATGAATACAAGTCATATTTAATTTTAAGTTTAAATAGAATTTAACCTACCATTGGGCATTGGCTGAGGTAAGAGCCAAACGGAGTGATTTTTTTAATTTAATGTTCAATAAAATAATTTTTCTAAAAAATAATTTTTTTTCTTCAAGTCATTTAAGTGTGCATTAAATGAAGCAACAGATCAACTGAATATTGATGTCAAAACTTTACACTCGAAAGATAATTCTCATGGTTTGTCTTCGTTTTTCATTTTTTTTTGAATTTTTTTTCAATGTATTCTTTCTTAATTCTAGTTGAAGAAAAGCTCTCAAACTCAGATGATTTCCTTAATATTATGAAACAATTTCAAAAGTTGAATAAAGATGTTCTGGAAGTTGTTAGATGTAAAAATATTTCTATTCAAAATGATGAAATGTTGGCATATTTTTTATTTTTACAAATTATAACTTTAATTTTAATTATAAATTTATGTTCATTTGTTCAATATCTGAAGTAGATAATGTTTTTCAAAATTAATTTAATGGTTAAGTTTTCTATGTGGTGTGCTAAAGAACTCGTGTCTTCATTTCTATAAAGATGAATACTGCAGCTGGTCCAAGGTTTGTCTGAAAATCTACCTAGTCCATTTTTGTCATTAAATTTTTTAAAAAATATTTTGTTTTTTTTCTTCAGATTAATACATATAACGACCTGCTTTGTGATGCTAATGTTACCAGTTTGAATGAAAGTTCCGTCACTTGGTTTGATGATAACATCAACCTTGACGATGTCCTCAAATTAGTGAAATTAACTTTAACAACAGGAACACACGTGGCTTGTATGTGTTTCATTTTCTTTTTTGTTCTTTGAAAATAAAATTTTGATTTGTTGGTTTGGGTATTGTAATTGCATGCTTAACTTTTCTAATGCATGTAAGAAATCTACCATAAATCAGTTGTTGTTGTTGTTGAGTTTGTAGCTTTCAATCTAGAGAGTCAAACCACTCCCATTAAAAAATTTTTTTTTTACAAAGTTATCTCATCCCATTTTTTTATATAAAACTTGCAAATGAAATAGATTCAAAATCTGTCTTCTCTTACATCTATAAAATTTGTTATTCTTCATAATATTCACTGTTTTGTGCACCGTTAAACCATTTTAAATGATATTATTTATAGATCAGTATTATTTAATTTTCAGCATTTTGTTGGTCATTTGATGTTGATGGCTGCTGTGAATGTGCATATTTGGCTGTCGTCAGTGGCGAGTCAGTCATCAGTCTTTGGAGAGTGGAAAATTCTCAAAAGTCAGCTGTCCACCTGTGTTTATCTAATTTTCATTTTATTCATTAATTGTTAATGAATACTAAAAATGATTTCATGATGTCAAATTACATAATCATTTTCAAATTTATAAATTCCTTTTTTTAATCAACCTATGATATTAAATGCTCAGGTATGAATTGGTTCATGTTATTTACTGTTGTAATGAGATCTGCCAAGATGTGATGATGTTCACAATGCAACAACAGCGTGGGTTTTTTTGTTGTTTGAAAAAGTTTGAAAAAATCATCTAAGAAAAATACATTTTTTTATTTTTCCAGTGTTTCTGACTATCATGTATAGAAACGGTTGCATGAATTTACTGAAGTATCAAATTTCACAAGATGGAAGTCTTAAGGATTGTTGCTCCAATTTGATATGGAGTGATGAAGACCAGATAGCATGCACCAACGTTCAATTTTGCCCAATTGTATGTTTTGCTGCTGTTTTCGCTGATGCTCATTCCATTTACTTTATAACTTGTGTGGTTAAAATCTGCGTCTGTACATGCTTGCAATTGTTTGATTGTTGCATTGATGAACTTTCAAATAATTTATAGTTTCATCTACTTTGGCTTCTATCAATTATATCCACCAACACATTTTGCAGAAAAAGTTATTTGTTGCGTCGAAGAATGCAGTCATTATTGTGTTGAAAGTGAATTTAGATGATCTGAGTGTTGTCACTACACAAACTGTTCAAATGATTTTCAAACTTTTTGTTACAAGTTTGTCATTCATTACACCTCATTATTCTATTTTATTTATGCCAACTATGTTTATACTATTAATAATTTTAATAGTTTCTGTTTATTATTGATACAGAACATTTTTTTGCTTCTTTTCCGTAATTTTCAAAATTCATAAATTAAACTTTCTACACTTATGTACCAATAATCCTTCACTAGTTAATAATTTGACACCTAGGTATTGTATGTGGTTCCAAGGAGATATATGTTTCACTTGCCGATGGTTATGTCTTGACAATGCCTTACATTGACTCATCGGGTACTTGTTTGTTTTGTGTGTGTTTTGTTTTGCAATCTTTTCCTTCACTGCTATAAGATGATAATTTTAGTCACATTCTTTAATGGTTTAAGGAAAATTTTAAGTTTGGCGAATGTTATGTACATAAAATTTATTAAACAACATATTTAAACTCATGCTTTCTGTGACATTGTCGTTCTATTGATTTCATAATGAATTACAATTCCGTCAGATGTGTTAAGTGAGACATCTAATGTGTTGAATCTTCCGTGGAGTTGCAGGGATTGGACAGTGATGGGCATTCAACAATCACACAACAAGATTTATCTCATGTGCTCTCTATATCCTTCCAAATTCTACTGCTTCCGTCTTGCAAAGCTTGTTTCTCTGGTTACTTAGTTTATCTTCATTCATTTGTTTTTACCGTTGAGTCGCAAGTTCGTGAAAATAAATTTGGTTCTAATAAATTCATTGAATACATTTTGCTAGGTTCATTGCATCAACCTGAAATCCATTGATGACGTCAGTCACATAATTTTAAATCATGAAGGTAGGATATTTTGAAGAATTGTCAACATAACATCTTCCTTGAAGGCCAATTGAATGTAAAACTTTCCAAAATGCATGCACATTACTATCCTGTAGAACTTGTTTCAGACCTATTTAACTCTCCAAATCTAAAAACTATCAAATATTAAGCGCGATTTGTTCAGACGTGCTGTAATTTAATTAAACGTTTATAAATTTGAATCGTCTGAAAACATTTTAGAAAGTTTCAAGTAGACTCATTCTTGATAACAAACAAATGAAAACTTGTAAGAATAAAATTTCTGTACGTGGATGAGAGTGAACTTTTGTTTTCTTCAGGCACATCGTACAGTTTGCAAGATGCCTTCTGTTACATGAAGTATGAGTTGGCGAAGGGAGCACCGTGGCCTGATTATCTAATCGCTTACATCACTAACTCTTCACCATGGGGTAAGATCTCCATCAGCAAACTTCAGATCATTAGGTTATTACGCCAGTTGATATAAATAAATTAAGAGATAAATTTAAACTATTAACATTCGTTAATCTATCTATCTACATTTTAAATGTTGAACATATTTAGATGTTTATTCATTAAATGATCATTTTGTTGTTTTAAAATGTTTTAAAAGGAGTCTTCTGCTTATCTATTTGTTATACTCAAAGACAGAGGATCCTTTCAATGTATGTTTTATTTTGTTTTTCTATATTATTTCTAAAAAGTAGTTAATTGCTTTGAAACAAACAAACCTATTTATTCTGAAACTTTATCTATAGGTCATCATGAACAGTAATGTTAAAAAGTTGGACTTGCTTCTCCTAAACAGGAGATTTTTATCTTTGTTTGAGAACGATCACTTTGATAGTTTGAATATGAAAGCTAAAGGTACAAAATTTTTATTTAAATATTAAACATTGCTAAAGATTTTATTTCGAAATTTCTTCCAATTTAATTTCTTGAATCACATCCCAGATCAACTGATGCTTGCTATGATTAGGCAGTTCTTGAAATCAACAAACACAGCCCTTCCTAGATTCTTGGCTACGATCAAACCTGCTCAGCCTGTCACGTACTGCCCCGCTTGTAAAACAGGTGTGCTTCATTATTATCCGTTCTAAAAAAAAAACCGCTCATACACTTTAGTTTGTTATACATAAGTTTTGTGCGCTTGCATAATTGAGTGTATTTCATATGTTGCATATCGTATAATTTAGACTAATTATAAGTTTTGTTTTCTGTATTATAAATTTTGTATTTTAATAATTCAGAAATACCGTACGAGAACCACGAGGAAGGGACCTGCAGAAACGGCCACAGTTTTGGTTAGCAGCAATTTGTTCTTAAAATTATTTATTGATGGAAAATTTCAAAAATGTTCATTCTCCAGAGAGGTGTTGTCAAACTCTGCTGCTAACGTGTGACATTCCATACAGATGCTGTCTGATGTGCAACAGAAAGTTCGTCAATTACGACGGTTTGTACGTCTTATTGTTTGTGAAATCATTTCCGAACTTTTTTATACATCAAATTTGATTATTTTATAAAACAAAAGTCAACGAAACATTTTGTAAAAATTGCAATAATTCATGCTATATTTATTATAATTGATTTCGTCGATCTAAAGATGATGATGGAGTGATGTGCCATTTTCAAAGTGACAAATGTCCGATGTGTGGTGGCAAAATCAAGCCAAAAGATGGATTCCAATGATTTCCACTTTATGTTACAACTTTTTACAATTCAATACACATGAAACAGTTGCATGATATTTTTTAAAATGTATGAAAAATAAAATACTTAGTCGAATAAATTGACTTTTTTTACATTCAATTTTGTACAACTATGACAAAAGAAAAGAATCACGTTTTGGCAACGCTATTAACGTGGAATATGTTAACAGTTGTTTCATGGCATGTTCTAAGATTCATATCATACATTCCTATGCTGAACTTGCTCTCTGCTGCTTTGAAGTAATCCAAGCCCCGTCCAATCTTAATTGTCCAACCATTATTCAGTCTACAGAAAAAACAAATTTGTATAAATTACAAGTTAAAAATCAAATTTGACAAATTAATCACGAAAAAGATACCAGCGAAAAATTAATTTAAGTCGATTGCGCTATTTAAATGCAGTTGTTCTTTGTTAGAATTGCTGTTAATCTTGGATATAATCTTAGTAAATTATCTCTAACTTATATATGCTATAAACACAGTCACAACTCACAACATCAATAATGATATTGAAACGTGCGCAAGCCACCTTATTTCACGGTCGTGTAACGTTTGTGAATACTCTACATCCAGTTTAATATTTCTCCTTAACAAACTTTCTTTCAATTCTGACAATTTTATCATTTGAGCATGGGCCGCACCTTGGTCCTGTGTAAATATGTTAATATAAATTCACTAATGTATATTCATTCATTTTCTGTTGACTCAATATTTCTTGCATTACAATAAAATACCAATTCTTTCCCAGTTGTAAGTGAAATTCTTTTAATTTGAGTGCTTTTCACCAACAATTCACACAGCCTAACAAAGTTGGCAACCTTTGAAAAACATACAGGGTGTTATTTATTATAAAGTAACTCTGTGTATTGTGATCCATTTGTGTGAAAATTACAAATTTCAATCAAATCAAATTTCAAGCGAATCAATCGTAGTAGAATGTTAAAAACCTGATGGTTGCTCCTAATGTAAGGGTCGATGACTTCAACCTCTGTCACCCTTTCATCCAAATACCTCCCAAATACCTGTTCATAACTGTGCCCAGTTGAATCACATTGAATCTGAATGACCTCAGATTGGTAATTATTATCTGTTTGATTTAATTGGTTGAGATTTTTGTCATCAATATCAGATTTATAACTCAATTAAATTTATAAATTTAATTAGTCAATTAAAGAAAATTTTTAGCAACCTTTTTTAAGTAGTTTCTTGAGCAATTCAGCTCTGCCCATGTACTGTTCAAATTTCTCCCGCAAAGATATTTTCATTGATTCATCACTAGTATCTGCAACATAAAAGAATGATTGAAGAATAAGGTTACAGTTCATATTACAGATGCTCCAAAATATTTCCCAGGGCCTAAATTAGTCTAACACTTACTATTTAAAGATATTTTGTTATTCATCTGCTAAATTTATTCTGATTTCATGTTTCATCTAAATATCTCACCATTATGAGTTTGTTGGAGGTAATTTGAAAATTCAAGCACTTCATCTGTTTCTTGATGAGTCACATTAATAGCAGTTTTATTTTTTCTTTGTTCTTCTTATTCTGAGAGGCAATGCATGTTGAAGTTAGAGCTTTGGCACACCTTATAATATTTTCTTTTGATTTATCTTTCTCTGTGGCTATAAAATATTGCTGAAAGGACTTTGGAAACTGATGGAGCATGCAATGGGTGAGTCCTTGAATTTTTAATAACATTCACTCCAGCCCTAATCATTTGAGATGGATATTCCCTTTCATCACAGCGCCAGTCTGATTTCTCAAGTGAATTGCTTTCTTTCTACCTTTAGTAGATGTCACAAACTGTAATTCCATGACAACAGATGCAGACTATATAATAAACTTAAGCATGTTGTTGTCTTGCATTTCATAATAAACCCGATCAATCCGGTTTGCAGTTAAGAAGCCTTTGTTTGTTGAAGTTTAATTTTTAAGTCTTGAAAGAGAAAAGTGAATACATATTAATGAACAATAAAAGCAGGTAAACAAGAGTCAAGAACAATGTTTTAAAAAGCTTTATTGCACTATTCCATATGATATCTGTATGAATCATTAAGTAGCATATAGAATAATAATATATATTTTTTATTTTAATTAATAATTTTATTAATTTAATAATTTTTTAATTTATTTGACATACTGAATTTTATTAACCCTTCATAACTTTCAACATTAATTCTAAGCCATTTTCATAACATGGCAATGCTTCCTTGTATTTTCCCAAGTTGTCCAGTTCAACGGCTCTCTGCAACAACATAACAACTCCGGATTCTTGCAAAATAGACATCGGATTGGTGTGATAAAGGCATAACAAAAATGTACCACAAACAAAACAAATGTGAAAAAAAACCCACATATGCAATTAGGAATGTGTCAAGATTTTATGTAAGATCATTAATAATATACATATATATTATATTTAATATACATCTGAGCATGTAAAATTGAGAAATTAAAATTGATAAATAATACTATAACGATAAAATTCAATAAAAATTGTATATATGCATATATGTATGTATCTAATGTGAATGCAAAATTGTGCAATTAAACATGTTTAAATGATTTAAATGGCACTTCACTCATGAAAAATTTATACGGAGAAGGCAAAGTCTGCTTTCGACAGTATAAGACTAAGTTTACTTTTTACGTTTGACCACGTGATTAACTGTTCAGACGACTATTTAAAAGAGTTAGTGCAGTCGACAAACAGGTGGTACTTTTTCAAATTTTTCTAAATTTTTGATTCGAATGTTAATCCAAAATTGATTAAATTTTTTTTAAAAATTATGGATAAAATGTTGAATTTATCTGAAAAAGATTCAGCTTCTGTGACAGCCCTGCAGCAGACGAAGAATAAATGTTGGAACATTTCATTTCAGACTGGCCTTGTTAGAAAGTCAATTAGAATTAATTTGGACAGCAATGGAGAACTTTCAATGGAAAATCTCAAAAGAGCTGCATGTGTTTTCATTGATGAGAACGTAAATTTTTAAATTTTTATTATTCAAGTTGAATTCCATTGCTTTTTATAACATTTTATTAAAATTAAAACTTTCTTCACAATTACATTTTTAATATTGATAATTCAATTAATTAATTACTTTTTATTTATAAAAATCTAGAAGTAATTTTTTTAATAATTACCAAAAATTTGATGATTTATTTTTCACTTTCATTTTGTAGTTTATTATTTAAACAACTGCAATTGCTCATTATCAGTTTCCAGAACATGGCTTCTGCAACTTAACAGACAAGATCTTGCTATTCAAACATGATCTTTCTGATATCAATATCCTCAAAATGATTAACAATGTTTCAGATTTAGTAGAAAAAGCCCTCATTGAAGTTGTGTTGTCAGGTTAGAGTTTTATATTAGTTTTCCTCTTTTGGTTTTTTTTTACATATTTTGAGCTTTGATGTTAAATTAAGACTGTTTCTGCTTATTAAGTTGCATTTATTCATAATTTAATGACAGGCTATAATCATTCAATAACTCAATAAGTGATATTGAATGATTATTAGCTTTTAAGTATATTTGCTATGGCTCACAATGAAATTACATATAATATACTATCAATACCGTCAAATAGTCAAATAATTTGATACTTGTTTATCATTCCTATTTGCATTTCTGACTCATGTGGATAAGTGGCTACATAGGAAAACATTTTGGCCCAATCATAATAATTGTTGTTAGAGAATGTAGGCAGAAAAACATTTTGGCCCAATCGTAATAATTATTGTTAGAGAATGTAGGCACTTGTTTTCATGTATGAAGTACATTTCATGTGTGAAGTACATGCGCTCGCGCGCACACACACACACACATAATATATATTTAATTCAATTTTTTGATAATGCACAAACGTCAAAATATGCATATGCAATGCAATATTTTCTGATTTGATATATCATGAAACAATATAGTGATTGTAGTTTTTAGAAACTAGGCCAATAATCTTTTATAATTTTTGTACTGGTATACAATTGCAATTCATTTGTTCTATACTTGTATATAGCCATAATATAAATGTGTGAAATTAGATGGGTTATTATTATATTTATTTATATGCTTATAATCTATTATACAATGTCCTTTCAGAAGCAATTAACCTTTAGTCTTTTGTTGTTCAAATCATCAAATAGATTGTTATTTTTGTTATTGTTTATGATTTTTAAATTTTTATTTAGTAGTTGTTGTAGTAGTAGTAGTAGTGGTGGTAGTAGTATTAATAGTCAGAGGCACAGTTAGAATATTTTTAGGTGAAAACAAAATTTTTGAAATTCTTCTTCTTCTTCTTCTTCTTCTGCAGTTTTACGGCGTTTTAGCTCTGATAGGCTATCTTTACGCCCTTGGTCTTTGTTGATTCTATTTTCTTTTATGGATCTTCATTGACCCGTGAGGCAATTAAATGTTGTTGAACATGTTTATTTCTTTAATGAATGATAACAGGTTTTGTAATTTTCCATCTTTGAAAATTGATCGGATATCATTTGGTATTTGATGTTTTTTCCTGATTTCATTGTAATTTTGACATTCTATCAATATATGTTGGATTGTTAATTTTGTATCACAGTTCTCGCAAATTGGAGGGTTTGTTTTGTTGAGAATCCATGAATGAGTTATTTTAGAATGACCGAGTTTTAATCTATTTATGATGTTTAAATTGTTTCTACTAAGTTCGTTGATTTTGGTGTTTTGTGAACTATTTAGTTTTGGCATAACTATTTTGAGGAAGTTAGCTATTTTATCCCATTCTTTTTGCCATTTGGAACATATGAGGTCGTTTGTCATCACTCTTATGTCGTAATATGGAATTGGAGTGTTTGATGGGGGATCCAAGTGCGCTTGTGCTGCCAATTGATCTACCCTTTCATTTCCTTCAATACCAATGTGGCTAGGAATCCAGATTAATGAAATATGATTATTATTGCTTATTATATCATGTATTTTGTTTTGGATCTGAAGAATTAATTGATGGCGGGGATAGTACTGTTTCAATGCTAGGAGAGTTGACAACGAATCTGTGAATATCTGATAGTTTTTCCTGTTGAATTGTATATGGAGGATAATGCCATGTCTATCGCTGTTATTTCCGCTGTGTATATTGAGGTGTAGTTTGGAAGATGCTGAGTACGACTGTTGGTAAATTGATATTGCTGCCGGAAGATGATTGCTGCTGTTGTTGAATTTTCTTTCTTCGAGCCATCTGTATATATTTTAATATTATTTTCATTATTGCTTAGTTTTTCTTTATACATAGTTTTTGCCAGCTCTTGGTCTTTGTTTGCACTTGTTATGGATGTGTCAATTTCGGGGTAAGACATTAGCCATGGAGGGGTTTTGTGGGTTATCTCCTCTAAAATCTTTGTTTTATCTATTTCTTTGATATATTCTTTTAATCTTATTGCAATTGTGGGAATGGATTTAATTTTTGTTGGTCGATTTTTACTCATTATGTATTTATAAGCAGGATTATCTATTTGAGTTCTTATTTTGAGGTAGTAATTTATTGATAGTTTTTGGTGTCTAAGACATAGTGGCATCTCTCCTGCTAATATATGAAGGCTACTTGATGGAGATGTTTTGAATGCACCCAAACATCTTCTTAAAGCTTCGTTTACTATTGGCTCAAGTATTTTCATATAGGATTTCCTGGTGCCACCATATACTGGGCCGCCATAATCTAATATTGGTCTTACTGTTGATCTGTAGATTGTTGTCAAATGCTTTTGATGTGCGCCCCATGTGTATTGAGATAATGCTTTAATTAAATTGAGAGCCTTCAGGCATTTCTTCTTTATCTGTTGTATATGGGGTATGAAATTTAACTTTGAATCAAATATTATTCCTAAGTATTTATATTGAGGAGTGAATTCTATGAGATTGTTTTGAAAAATCAGTTTGGGATACGTTTTATTGCGTTTTCTTGAAAATAATATTGCTTTTGATTTAGATTTTGAGAATTGTATTCCATTTTCTTTCGACCATTTCTCTATATCCTTCAAGGTTTTATTTATTTCTGTCTGCATTTTATTGGTGTCTTTGTCTTGGAAAGAAATGGTTATGTCGTCCATATAGAGAGCTATCATTGTGTTTCTAGGGATTATTTTTGTTATATTATTGATGCTTAGACAGAACAAGTTTGGAGACAAAATACTTCCTTGCGGAATGCCTAATTCTGGAGACATTATTTCTGATAGGGAGTTGTTGACCTTTACAACGAAACTACGGTTTGTTAAAAAGGCTTGAATGAATTCTGGCAGACGTCCTCTTACTCCTGCTTCATATAGATTCTTTAGAATTCCATAATTCCAAGCAGTGTCATATGCTTTTTCTATGTCAAGAAATATTGTTACTACTTGCTTTCCCTGATTCAAAGCTTGTCTTATGGAAGTTTCTAGTGACACCAAGTGGTCCAATGTTGATCTTCCTTTGATGCCTCCACATTGTACGTCAGATATGATTTTATTTTTTTTAAGGTACCAAGTTAATCTATTGTTGATTATCTTCTCCATTATTTTGCATGTGCAACAGGTCAGAGATATTGGTCTGTAGCTGTCTGGTTGTGATTTTGATTTGTTTGGCTTACTTATAGGGATTACTATTGCCTGGAGCCATAATTTTGGTAGTCTTCCATTCGACCATATATAGTTGTAAATTTTGAGTAGTATTGTTTGTGACTTTTGAGAAAGGTTTTTAAGCATTTTATATGATATTTGATCTGGACCAGGCGATGAATCTCTGCTATTGTCAATTTCATGTAACATTTCTCTGATGGTTATTGGGGTATTATAAAATTCTTGATGTTCAGTTTTGAAATCTATCTGTTTATTTTCTTCTTTGGTTTTGATGGCTTCAAATATATTGTTTTGATTTTTGGTGTATTGCTGAAATTTATGAGCCAACACATTTGCTATTTCTTCATCTGTTTCATATATTTTTTTATTGATGATGATGTGATTTGTTTTATTGTCAGAATTTTTATTTTTCATTTTTCTAATCATTTGCCACACTTTTTTAACGGGAGTATCTCCTTTAATGCTATTGACGTATGAGTCCCAACAAGTTTTCTTTTCAATTCTCACAACTCTCCGAGCTACAGCTTTCAATTTTTTGTAATTTATCAGATTCATTTGTGTTGGATTGTCTCTGAATATTTTGAATGCTCTTTGTTTTCCTTTAATTGCACTTTTGCAATTTTTATTGAACCATGGATTTAGTATTTTATCTTTCTTATTTTGCGTAGTCGGCATTATCTGTTTTATGATTGTTGTTATTATGTCTATCCATTTGTCCATTGAGTTTTCATCAATTTCTTCAATATCCTTCATCATTTCATTTGTCATTACTTGAAATTTATTCCAATCTATTTTATTGTAGTTCAATCTGTTACATTCATAATTTGTTGCTTTAATTTTCATTGATAAAATTATTGGGAAATGATCACTGCCGTGAAGATCCTCTTCAGCTTCCCATTCAATATCTTCAAACATTGTTGGGGATGTCATAACTAGGTCAATTATGGATGATGTATTTGTGTGCTCATGGAACATTGTTGGAGCTGTTGGTTTGATGAGGCAAATGTTATTTTCTATAATGGTTTTTTTCTAATTCTTTGCCTTGGGTATTTGAGTTTTGGGATCCCCATAACTGGTTGTGAGCATTAAAATAGCCGACAAGGAGAAACGGTTTAGGGATTTGTTGAATTAACTGTTTTAATTCTTCCGATTTCATTATATTGTTAGGTTTGATATATCCATTGCATATGGTAAATGATTTGTTGCATGTGACTCTTGAAGCTATGAAGTGATGATCAGTTTTTAGTTGATGAGAAGATTGTGTGATCTTATGATGTATATATATTGCTGTTCCAGCTGATGGATTTGTCTTAGTTGGAGTGGCTGCTTTATAGTATGATGAATAATTTTTTAAGATTATTTGTTTGTCATCAGTTGTTTTTGTTTCTTGGAGACAGATGATGTGAGGTTTGTATTTTGCTATTAATATTTGTAATTCAGGTAAATTGTTTCTCATTCCTCTTATGTTCCATTGTAGTATTATTATATTATTATTGTCATTTCTGTTTGGGAAGTCTTCATATGGATATATACTATTTTTATTTATGCTGCTCTGGTTGAATTTTGTTTTATTTTCTATTTTGTTTGTTGTGTTTTTTGTATCACGATCCGTGTTTACTTCTGCTGGGCTTTTTAATTGTTGTTGATTTGTAATTAGTACATCTTTCATCATCACTATCATCATTGAAGCAGTCATCATGCATGTCTTCATCAGAAAGAAACATATATGGGTCATTACTTTCATTCATATTTTCTTTTGGATTTGAGGGTTTGTTATTTGTTTGTTTTATTTTTTGACTTGATTCTGATTTTTTGGTTTGTGTTTGATTTTGAGCATCTATATTTGTTTTTTTTTAAATGACTCTATGCAAGGATTTATTGGTGTTTTTATTAGTTCACATTGAACAGCTTTGTCTGACATTGAAATGTTCTTTTTTGCTATTTGAGAATATAACGGTTTATTTTCTTGGCAGATTTGATTTTTGGCTTGACTGCAGGATATGTTATTGTCAATTTTTTTCTTTATTATTTCTTTTTCTATTTTAAATTTTTGGCATTCTTTTGAAATGTTTCATGGATTTCATTGCAGTGATAGCACTTTGGTGTGTTTTGACAAGGAGATTCCCACGTGTGCTTGTGCCCGGGTTTCCACACTTTGCACATATGATTTCCTTGCTTTTGCATACTTTGTGATGATGTCCATATTTCTGGCATCGTGTGCATCGCATAGGAGGTGGAATGTATCTATCTATTTTTAAAGTTTGGTAACACACTTTTATTTCTGTTGGAGGCTGTGGGTTTTGAAAAGTTAATATGTAAGTGTTGGTGCTTAACTTCTGATTATTTTTTGAAATTTTAATGTTATATATATCACAAACTCCTTGTTTTTCCAATTCTTCTTTTATTTCTTCCTCTGTGCAATATTTAAATAGTGTTGTTTTGATAACTCCTTTACTTGTATTGAGTGATTTATGAGGATAGCATTTGACTTTTGTATCTATCATATAGTCGATTTTTAAAGCTTTTTCTATTTGGGTTTTTTCTTTTATCTTGAAGATAATTCTGTTTGGTTGTATTTTTATGAATTGCAGTTCTCCAATGTTCATTTGAAAAAATTTTTGTATTTTAAATACCGATATTTTTCCAAAATCATGACTGACGCCAGAATTTTGCGGTTCAATAACATAATACATCGTTCCTTCAAGTGTTGGTGTCTGTGTTACTATGGATGACAACACCCTCGTTCTCTTCTTTTGTGGCGCCAGTTTCACCGACTGGCCCACCCGGTAGAGTAAGCAATATGAATTACCGCAACTACAAGAATTTACTTTTTTATTAATTTACACTATTAAAAATTAACTTTTTGTAAACAATTCTCAAAAAATTTGAAATTGTAATTCCGAAAAACGATTTTTAAGCAGAATTTGAAGCTACGAGATAATACTCCCTATATCGCTCACCCCAGAATCCTTTTTGAAATTCAATAGTTATTCCCCATATAATTAAACTTTCAACAAACAGACAAATCAACTTACAAATAAGCAAACCAACTGACTAACTAACAAACATCAAACAAACAAGTTAACAAACAACAAACATTCAAACAGCTGATGTTATCATTGAGGACCTGAATATTAAACCACACAATCTTCATTCTCACACGTACAAATCTCCACATTTTTGTGATCTTTGTGGTGAAATGCTTTTTGGACTGATCAAACAGGGACTCAAATGTGATGGTCAGATCATTTCATACTATTTTTTCTCTCTTTCTTAAAAATTTGAAAGTCCATAATTTTATTCTTGCAAAGAAATAGTCATTTTTGTATTTTCATGATTTTTGAGATTTTTTATATTTTTATTTGAGGTTTTATTTTTTCAGTTATAAAATGATATGATTAGTATGTCTTTCATTGTATTTTTTTTAAATGCTCCATACTTCTATATAATCTTCTCATAATATTTCACAATGCCAACACCATCTTTGTGTAAATAGCAACATTGAAATCAGCATGAAAAGTAGAACCAAAAATATTCATAATATTTCTAAAATGCCAGTTAGCACCAATAAAGACAACTGTTACAACAACAAATAAATTGAAAATATAATTGTTTCCCATAGGCTGTCACATGAATTTTCACAAGAGATGTTCCGACAAAATTCCAAACAATTGCAACAATTTAAAATTTCTACAGCATTCATCTGGAAGCTCTGATCAAGAGGCAATGGAAACAGATGAAAATCAAGTCATTCATTGAATATATTGATTCTTTTGTTATTAATATATCAAATGTATGTTATTTGTTCATTTCATTCAGTCCACTGTTCTTGGAATAGGTCATGAATTATTTATTAGCTTATCAATTTACCATAAATTAATTTTGTTCATTATTCATTAAACATATCACAGTGAAACTGTTTCAACATTTGTAAATTGATGCACACGTTCAATTTTTTTCTTTCTCTCTCTTACTAATACATCTTTCCATAGACTACATTGGCAAAAACAATCAGCACTTCAACGAAAAGTAGTTCCCGAAGTCAGAAAAATCGATCAAAGTCATGGAATGGTCGTCCTCTATGGATGGAAAAAGAATATGCAAGCAGGATCAAGGTGCCTCACACGTTCGTTGCACATACCTACACCAGACCCACTGTCTGCCAACATTGTAAGAAACTGCTGAAGGGATTCATTAGGCAGGGGATGCAGTGCAAAAGTTGGTTATGCTGGTGTTTCAAAGCTGGTTTCTAATAATAAATGCTTGAAATTGGGTTTATGTTGGTTTGTAAAAATCTGACGGCTTATGTTGATGTGTACTTAAATTTTTGTTTATATAGTGATGTTTATTTGCCATGGAGGTGATTGTGTGTGTGTAGTTATGTTTTTGCGTTGAATTAGAATTGATACAAGTCAGCAAAGATCACTAGGTGACAACATTAGCAATATTTAATGAACAGATTGCAAGTTCAATTGTCATGCCAGATGCACCTCACTGACGCCTGTCAATTGTCCTGGAGAGATCCAACGAAGTTAGATTGTGCTAATGGCCTTACTGACGATGATGAGGATGATGATGTCGACGACACTTAACTTCACCAGTTTTTTTATTTGCTAAAAACTTATTATAAAAATAAAGAATTAATGTATTTACAGTTCATAAATTAAATAACATTTTTATGCATACATTTCCTCATCTATTTTTATGGGTTGATTTCTGTATACATGTACACTTATACATTCTACGCTTCAAATTTGAATAAATATTTTTTTCCGTTTATTTTGTTATTCATCAATTAATATTTTTCATTCATCCACTCATTCATTGGCGTGGTAAATTTGTGCATTGTAACATTTGTTTGCTCTTTCATTCTGTAGTGGGTCATGCTCCACAAGAAAGCGCTGAACGGATGAAATCAGCTGCTGAACCAGAGGCATCAACACAAATCTACCCAACATCATCAGCACCTGATGAAAAGCAGGTGAAAGTGGATGTTAACGAAATTGTTGATGAGATGACCATGTAGAATACAGATTGGTCGTCCGTCAGTTCACGTCTACGTATGACTTAATTGAGTTAATGATTTTACATGCTTTCGTCGACATAAACTTTGATAAAGTTAATTTCTATAAAACATTTTTAATTCCATAAAATTTTAGTTTTTAGCGACAATAAACATTTAACCGATATAACCAGTATATTTTATACTCTAAAAAACAAGATGACTTAATGATTCAATGTTTGAACTTGTCGGTCTGTCATTATTTTAATCAATTGCCTACAATCATTTATAAAATATGTTTGATAAATAAATGCTTACCTTAAAACGGCTCACCTTAAAAAGATCTTGATGGCTGGTGCTTTGTAATTTGCCGTGTTTATGATGTCGAAATTTGCTGCTCCTTAAATTTGCTTCTAAATTTCAATAAATTACGATTGATGTTGGCATTAAGTAAGCTTAAAGAAAATTATTCTGTTTGTACCCAATGAAAACCGCTACTTTTGGATTTCTCATGAATAGTATTGTAAGGTGAGTACTTTCAACATAGGTGGTCGCTATATAAAGTAATATACTAATCGAAGTTTATTTTCGTTAGCAAAAAATAAACTTTTAAAAGTCCGAGCGCGCCGAAATTCATCGTGTCAGTTTCGCTTTTTTTGTACACAAGATTTGATGATAGTGATATGGAGAGAGATCTTGGAACGTTTCCCATACATGGCTCTCTTCATACGAAACTAACAAATGCTGGATTTAAGCTGGTCGCTGATGTCATTGACTACAAAGTTTCTGAGCTGAGCAAAGGTAAGGTAGGCAGCCGTCATCATAATAATAATGGCCATGATAGCCAGACCTAGTTATTGTTATTAAGTTATATATTATAATATAAATAACTATAACATAACAGTTATATTTTATTTTATTTTTGTTTTTAAGAAATTTATTTTTATTGTCTATTCATGTTAAAATATTTTATATATATATTTTTTATGGGTAAATTTTTTGTGTTACATCATCTGTATAACTAACAAGAACAACATTAAAATTAAAGTAAATAAAAAAATGAATATCTGATAAAATTTATTATTTATCGGTTATAGAAATAAATATCACCAATGAAGAAGCTCTCGACTTTTTACAATTAATAAAAAACGAATCACTGAAAAAAGAATGCAAAACTAAAGCTGTAATACCACATGATGAAATTGACAGCAACTCCAAAACAGCATTACAACTTCTGCAATTAGACAAGCAGTGTATTGTCACATTTTCAGAGAAGCTTGATAAATTGCTTGGTGGAGGTGTTCAGTTAGGGAAGGTAACTGAAATCTGTGGTCCTCCTAGTGTGGGTAAAACTCAGTTATGGTTTGTTTCAAGCTTTTATTTAAGAGCATTCAATCTAATTTAATCTATTTCAAGCTTAAATTTAAAAGCATTCAATCTACTTTTAATTTGATAATATGATTATTTAAATTACTTTTTTTATATTCCTAGTTGTATAAAATGCTATTTATGTAAGAATTTTTAAATTGAATTATATTATTTTCATTAAAATCCATAACAATTTTGACCAGTTTCCAATTAGCTGTCGATGTCCAAATACCAGAGTGCTTGCATGGAGTTGAAGGTGAATGTATCTACATTGATACAGAGGGTAGTTTTGTTGTGGAGAGGATTTTAGATATTGCAAGGGCCACTGTCTTGCACTGTCAATCAATTGTGGTTGAGGGTGATCTCGTTGAAAAAAGTTGTCTATTTTTTCCAAATATTAATAGTTTTGAACAATGCTTAATTTTATTTTTTACATTTGAATAGGTAAGGAGATGGTTGAAAATTTTCATGTTAGGTCCATACTTTCTCGAATACACTACTTCAGATGTTTCGATTACATTCAACTAATTGCACTTATGCATACTTTAGATGAATTTTTAAGAAAAAATGGAAAAGTTTGTTAATTTTTCAAGTTTTTAGCATTATTTTAATTTTATAGTTAACAAAAATTTTCATTAGGTGAAGTTGATAATTGTAGATAGTATTGCCTATGTGTTTCGTCATGATTTTGAGGATTTTTCGTTGAGGTCAAGATTGTTGTCGGCTATATCTCAGTCCATGAGCAAGTTTTGTACTCAATACAAACTAGCAGTGAGTCAGCTTTAATTAATTTATTGTTAATTTATTACCTTTTAACTTTTACTATAAAAAGTAATATATATTATATATTCAAAAAAGTTGAATCTATGAAAAAAGAAATTTAGCGTAAATTTTTAAATTTCTTTTAACAAATTTTTAAAAAAGGTTGTCTTAACAAATCATATGACCACAAAATTTGACAAGAAGCACAACTCATTTTTGGTGCCTGCCCTTGGTGAATCGTGGGGTCATTCATGCACATACAGAATCATTCTGCACTGGGTGGGGACAGTGAGGCATGCCCTTCTGTACAAGTCACCATCTAAAGAGGAATCCAGTGCTCCCTATCAAGTTACTGTATGTCATAAATGCTGTTGATTAATTCATTCAGCATGTTTAATAAAATTGTTTATTTGAATTAAATTTGTAAATTAAAATTTTTATACTGCTATCTTAAATATTTCCATCTAATTGTGTGTCACAGACAAAATTATTCAATTTGTTTTCATATTAAAGTATTTGCAAGCACAATACAATAGTCAATGCTCATTTTCTGATTTAGCTTAATTGTTTATCATCATCGTGACTAAATGTGACAAAATTCTAAAATTATGCATTGTTTATTTGTTTTTAATCACCAAGGTTGCTGGAGTAAGAGATTTATAGAATTCTATAAAAACTGAACAATTCTATAAAAGCCGAACAATTTTGTATAAACTGAATGGTTCTATATAAACAATGAAATGAAAAATGAAAAACGAGATGCCTATATTGACAAACATATCGTTAAAACACTGTAGATGATTGTAAGTATAAAAAATTGTTTTAAATTTAAACATGGAATGAAGTTTCTAAAAATAGAAATAAAAAGATTTTTTTGTTTCTCTGTATATTTAGTTCACTATAATACAAAAATGATTAAAAATGTTTTCACATTGACTTTAACTTTAATTTTAGTTAATGTCTCTTCAAGGTTTCAATCAAACTTCCAAGCTTCATAGCGCCCCTCAAGTCACCAGAGACTGACAACTGACCACCGATGTATGCATTGAAAGGACTGATGCGTTGCTCCATCAAATCTTGCAACACTTCTTGAGTCATCATTAGAACGACATCAGGGTCGACTAAGTACGGATAACCTATGCCAACTTTTCCATCTCCGTTTTTCAAATCAAGAAAAAAGATTACACTATCGTTTTTATCTTGGTTGGGATCATTTGGTGTTATGGCGAACTTGTACAACAAATCAAATTCTCTTACCAGTGTACTGTTCAATTGTGCAGAGACCAAACTCATCAAGTATCCAACTGAATTTGCAATTTTAGAGTTGATGAAGTTTGTATCATTTCTGATCTGGTCCATTTTTGTTGTGGGGATGGAGTTAATTGATTTCATTTTTTCTGAATTTTCTGCGTTTTCCTTGTTTCCCAAACCAAAATAATTTTGAAGTTGTTCCATGGGCGGATTACTAGATCCAGGTGGAAAGAGAACTGGTCCCAAGAAACTTAATGGATTATTTGAATTTTCATTGAGCTGGTTAGGTTTTGAGTATAGCTTTGGAGCAGATAATTCAATCTTGGTGACTGCCACTCCCCACGGTCTGGTTGCTTCATTCACTTCATCTTTCAAACCATCAATGATACTTTGTCTGGAGGTTTCCAGTTCAGCTAAGTATCTCCTGCCGACGTGTTTCAAGAGAGATGTTTGACACATGATTCTCGTAGAATGGTTGAGATCCTGGATGTTGTTGATGGATTTCAATGGATCAAATACTTGATAAAACACTTCTGCTCCAATTTCTATGACAGCACTGTCTACTGTGATAACTTTTTGCGGTGGAACACTGAATGCTTTCATTCTCATATCCACCCTAGCCCAGCTGTCGATGCATGGAAGGACTATAGCGTACCCTGAATTCGTCGTCTGCATATATCTACCCAATCTAAAAATAACAAAACGTTCGTAACTTTTTGAAACCTTGAGCGTAAATATCAGCGATACAGGTAGGGTGAAGATGAACACTAGGTAGCACACAGCTGTGGCCAATAATGAACTAACGTAACAGAGAGACGACTGTTTTGACTCTTCTACACCATTTTTCTCACTCAATTGATTGTATGTGAAGACTGATCTGTACTTTCCTTGTTGTATTCCGTACGAAAAATAGCTGGGACCGTCGAGTGCGTCAAACTTCACTTCCGTACACTCCGGCTCTTTAGATGGCAATCTCATGTATTTGTTGTGCACCATGTTGAACATCACTCTGTAAATTCAATGAAGAACAACACTACGATCTAACCAATTAGTTTATCGTGTTATTTTGCAGGACAATTTAATCGTTGTCATTATTAAAAATTGATCCGTTTACAGTTTATGTTGCATAGTGACGAACTTATTCGATTCGTCTGCTGTTTACATTGCATTTGTTCGCAGTAGCCCTGTGCATTGCTATGCTGTCTCGTTGTTGTGCTGGCTGTTTGTCAGGCGTAATTGCTAATGATTATTTTCGCTGTCGGTAAAATGCGTGAAGTTGTACGTAGTTTAAAAACGATTTTCAAAAAGATTTAAATGAAAACGTACTATAAAATAGACTTCAAAATAATGTATAATAATAGCCTATATAGTTATCATCCGAAGTTCTCATATGATTGTAAGCGAATTATCCTTTTAACTTATAACGAAATGTCGATAGCACTAAAACTTATCGTGAAATGTCATAACAGTATTTTCGCATATACTGGAAACTTTTAGCGATTTATTTTAACTCTAGCGTTCTTCAATTCATCTAAACAGTCAATATACAAATACTCTTCTGGTAATATCGTATCAAATGTGTATGAATGTGTTTGTAAATTCTAAACTCGTGTTGGTTTTGGTGTATTTTTATTAATTTCCTTACTACGATAAACGGTCTCACTGAAGTTTAATTCCAACGTACAATTTCTAAATTGAAAGTGTGTATATGTTTTATGAACCGCTAGATAGTTTAACGGTTAAGGTGCCTGATCATGTTGTTGCTGTGAGAGGGTTTGAATACAAAGAGATTCTCTTCTATCATATTTCAGTATGTGATAGATAGATACGCGGCCTTACGCGTGTTAACGTTCGTTGTGGTGTTCTTGACATCTCCGAAGAAAGAATTACTAAACAATATTTGGCGTGTTCTCAGGGAGAGAGAGAGAGAGAGTATAAAACATATATTGATATATATGAAATTAAAATGCAGTATACAACTTATATTACTATATATATATATATATATATGTATATATTTCATATTTTATATAAACATATATACACATACAATCATATATATAGCATACAGTATAAAACAGGCTTAAAATTGAATATTAGGAAGCTGAGAATAAAAAATAGTGCTTGTTCGAATCTTTCATAATTTTTAGGTGTCTGATGCAAATTGCAAGTGCAAAAATGTCTCTGGTTTTTTAAATGTGCACATTTTTGTTCTTTAGTGTTTAGAAAAGTACTTTCGTGTTTCTAAATCTTTAATTCTGGTAGACATTCACAAACATTCTTTTAATCATTAAGCATCCACGGGTTGTTTGCCTCTCTGTCTTTTCAAATAAATCAATCGAGATCAGCTGTGCTCTTGCAAAATAATTATTTAAATGCCTATTAAGTTTACTTTTAACACTTAATCACGTGACATTTGTAATGAAATCTATAAAGTAATTTATTTTGCAAAATAAAGAAAAAAAATTAGATGCATTAATTATAAATAAAAATTTACGAATGTAAACTCTTGAATTATTTAATTTTATTCTCAAATTGATCATGAACGGAATAATGAATTTGTCGGAGCAAGGATCACTGTCCAGTGCTAGTCCAAAGAAGGTGAGTTCCAGCAGGTCCAGAAGTGTTTTGCCAACCTGGAGCGTTTCATTTCAAATTGGCTTGGTTAGGGAATCCGTCAAAATCCATTTAGACTTGAATGGGGAGCTTTCACTTGAGAATCTAAAAGAGATCGCCTGTGCTTTTGTTGATAGAAATGTGAGTTTAGTTTTCTTATTTTATTTTATTTTATTTTTTATTTTAATCTAATTTTTAAATTTAATTCACTACATGATATTTAAAAGTATTTATTTAAGCTTGCAAGTGTCCATAACAAATGGTGTATGACAGCTGTACAAAATTAAACTCAAACTAACACTAACAGTGCTCTATGATTGGTTTGATCATGAATTACTATAGTTATTTAGTTGCAGTTCTTTTGCTATAAATTTTAAAAGTTTAAAAGAGTTTAAATAGTAACTTTACTAAATGATACTTACTAATATTGTTTTTATTTTAATTTTATATTGGGTGACAACTCATTCTTTTAAATTTTAAAATAATTTTTAGCATTTTTTTTCCAAATGCCTATTTTTCCATTTATCCTGCTTTTACAACAGAACATGTTTTCATTTTTGATAACAGGTCTTTATTTTACTTAAGGGTCTAATTTTAAAATTTAGTCACATATCATTTAGTTTGTTGAGTTTATGATTTGTATAACCTGTATTACTGCTTTTAATATTTAGGTAATATACCTTTCATATAAATTATGAAACAAATATAAACTTTTCTAATTAAGAAAGGGCTCTGTGAGATATTTTGATCTTTAATTCATTAAATGATTTTTAAAAAGAAAAATTTTTTAAGTATTTTGTCTTTAAGGTTCTCAAAATTAGAATAGATAAACTATTATTTAAATTCAAAATTACATTTAAATAAGAGAAGATGATGAAAACTGTTATATAATAAAATTTAAAAAATATTGATAATAAAGTTATTGGAAAATGATATATATAAAAAATTAGCAAAGTAAATAATGTGTGTCCAAGCAAAATATACAATCAATGTCACTTAATTTATTTTTGGAATGACTGAACACCTAACTGTGTCAAACATCTTTACCGCCAACCTTTTTTATTTAAGGCAAAAAAAATTTTAAGCTGTAAATAAGTACTTTGCAGTTTCCTCTTATTGGACTGGTATTTTCTAACAATTTTATTTTTGGTACTTTGTTGTTTAATTTTTGAGTAAATTTTTTCAAATTTTTATAGCTTCATTATTTAAAATTATCATTTTCATTAAAATTACAAATTGCTATTTGAATGGATGAATGGATAAATGAATGGATGGATGGATGAATGGATGGATGGATGAATGGATGGATGGATGAATGGATGGATGAATGATTGAATGGATGCCTAATGGCTTTAAATTGAATTCAAACATTTTCTCTATTTTGAACTGAAAATTGTCAATAATTGAAGAGTTTATGTGAGTAATGTGATTGCATGCATATATTGCTTGAATTTCATCTGAATATAATTTTGTAAGTGATATGTAGGATGATGATGGTGATGATAATAATAATAATAATGATGATGATGGTGATGATGTTGGTGATAATGATGATTGTAATAAGATTTATGGTGATGATAATAATGATATTAGTGCTACCTGTAGAGACAATGGTGCGAGTTTTTTTTTTATCATTACAACTTTGCAGTCTTCACGTTATTAAGGTTTCATGTCTTTCATATAATTCTTCTACATTTTTTTTACAAAAATTATTATTTGTTGGATTTTTTTTTTGTCTATGATATTTCTTCTTCCCCGTTAATTATTTAAAATTGTGATAAAAATATTATTGCATTAGAGGCATAGTTGTTAAATTAGAAAATGTTTTAAATTATTTTAAAGTCCACACAGATTTTTTAGCAATTTATCATGAGCCTCAAAGAATCCTCCCATGGCATTGTCATGGGATGAAAAAGCAACTCGTTGCAATCAATTTAATTTTTTAAAACTTGAAAAAAAGTTTTTGTTTGCTGTTTCAAATGGCTGCATTGTTAGTTATCTATATTAATTGTTTTGCCATTTAGAATCTTATTTTGTTTGTAGTGAAATTTTCAGCTGTTCCATAGAAGTGCTCATATTTATGTTGACTGATGTAAATCACACTTGTTATTCATCATTAAATCATTTGTAATGTATGAAAATTTCAACAGTTCCCAGAGCACGGCTTCTATAACCTGACAGACAAGATTCTTCTCTTCAAACACGACCTGTCCGATACGAACATCCTTAAATTGATAACAAAAGGACCAGATGTTAGCAATGGAGTCTTGGTTGAAGTTGTCCTTTCAGGTTAGATGGCCATGTTTCGTACTTTGTCTTTCTGCTAGTGCAGTGCTTTCACCTCTACAGCTTTCCACAGACTCAAATGTTAATTGCACTTACATCTACTAATGGGCACAATATGTATATTTGTTTTTATTTTTATGTTGTATTCCTAAATTTGAGTGTGTTTGTTTAGGTTGAGTCACTATTTGTTTAGGTGTTCAAATTGACATGAGCATACGAGGAAGTATAAGAACATATGAAGAAATACATTTCTTCTTGCGTTGTTTTTTGTTCTTGTCCAATCAAATCTGTGTCTAAAACATGTGTATATATTTTATAGACAAGTACATGTTCCTGGGCTCATCTGCATGTAAATTTATTGATGTAAATGTACAAATGTACAAACGTGTCTATGCCTGTATATGCTTGTGTTTGTATGTTTGCAGGTTGGTTGGTGTAAATGTAGAGTTATTATTTACACAATTGATACATGTATTATGTGTATATAAATGTGCTGATAGGTACTAGAGTTGAAACAGATATATTTTTCATCAATTTTTCTAATAGTTAGACTGTTCACCCATGATGTTTAACAGGCATGAATAAAATATTATTTGAAGTGGCTTTTTTATAAGTACTTTGTCCTCCACTCCTTACTTATTTGTGTTTGTATGTGTGTGTATGTGTGTGTGTGGGTGATTATGTTTGTGTACCTGTACATATATTTGTGTGTGTGTGTGTGTATACATAACAAATACATGATGTACATAAACTCGTAAATGCAGTAAACAGAAAAATGTGGAGTCATAATATTTGTATAATCCTGATGCATGCCTAGAAGAAGTTCTTTCATTTTTATCACTACATGTGTGTTGTTCGGCCCAATCTTCATTCATTGGTTGTGGATGGTTATTGACCATCTGCTGTTGGTTTGACTGCTTTATATTTCTTCTTGATAGTTATTAATTATTCTTCTTTCTTGTTTTTTAATCTGTTATTGTCTGTTAGTTGCTTATCTTTGTTTTGTTTATTTTATTTTTTTTTATATTTTTTTTTATCCATTTATTTTTCAAACATTAAAAAAAATAATTTTGAAAAAAAGGGTCCAGCATAACCACGAGTGTTTTTTTCAGCCAGCCCCAAAAACATCCATTCCATACATTTAAAGTCACATATTCAATTGATCACACACAAAAAAAGTAATAACGGAAATAGTTATGATCAAACATTATTTGGCTGTTAATAATATAAGAGTAATTTTCAATTGTACATCACATAGACAAACATTCAAACACAACACTCTTGCGCACACTTCTAAGCACAAAACCCAATCAAGAAAATGTATAAAACAAAAGTAACTATATGAAAAAAATATTATAAAACATTATGACAAACATATGAAATAGGTCTTTAATTGAATTTTGAAATCATTATAATTTGTCAAAGCCCTCAAATAAAATGGCAGTCCATTCTAAACCAACTGCACATAATAGAAAAATTGATGAGCACTAATTTTATTCAATATTAAATTTGTTTTAATTAAAAGTTTATCATTAGATTGGGTGTTTGAAATTCTATTGTATTCAATTAAATTTATGATGTGTTTATTTAGTTTATTATTTTCATGAATAATTCTAAAAATTAATAAACATGTTTTATATTTATTTACTTCATAAATTTATAATATAGTTTTGTTTATAATTTTGTTGTTGTTGGTTGTTTGTTGTTTTTTGTATTCTTTTAACATTTCTGTTCTTGATGTTAATGAAAATTCCCCACATCTATTCCATTATTTTGTGCATATCATTCTTTCCAATATATTGGAATTAAGGTCTGAAACGTGTGCACTTGAGCATATGTTTAACTCTATCTATCTACCTACTTATCTATCTAATCTATTTAATATACTGATATTCTTCTGATGCATTACCTTCTATCAATTTTATATTTTGGCCCCAGTTACATAATTTATCAGAAAGTATTTTATGTGCTTTTTGTAACCTTTCATTTTTTTCTCTGATGCAGTGAGAATTTAAGTTTTTGAAAAATGACTGATCGACTGATTAAATTTTTATGATGTTCAGGGAAGAATTTTGTTTTTTATCAACTATGATGCAGTCTGTTGGTTTTCATTGCCATAATTGTGTTTTATGGCTCTTTTGGTTTCATGGTTTTGTGCTTTTTTCAATAAGTTTTTGGTGGTTATTTTGATTCTCCTTTCTATCTTAGCAAATCCTTTAGCAGGTTTTTCTTATCCTTTTGTTGTTGTTCATTTGTTAGGATGTTTTAATCAAAAAAAATTGTTAGCAACTCTTTTTTCTCTAATAATATTTTTCTATTTGGTTTGGAAGGATAAATTGTTTTTGGTCTGATGTAATTTGTTTCATTGTTGTTCTCCCTCTTTTTGTTATGAGTCAGCATCACGGGAACATATTGGATGCCATTTATTTCTTCAATTAATTCTTCTTTCAATAGAATATTCCATACCTGCAACACAGCAGATGAACTTCATTATGTTGAATAAAACCATCTAAACGGTATCTCAAATATATAAATGTCATGGTATTTAAATTGGTTTAGAAAAAATGTATACAAAAATAATTCCTACATTTATCTCTAACATTCAACATTTTTCCTTTATAATCAGCAAGTTTGTTTACCTTAATGTAGGTTCAAAACATTTTTTGCTGATTTTTTTTAAAAGTTTGATAAAGTATTCTTATAACTGTATTGCTGGCTTCAGCTTCTAGTGAAATATTATACAATTTAACGTGGAATAATTCATTCGCATCATTATAAAACAAATAGTGGACTTGATTTATTTTTATGATATCTTGCATATACTATTGGCATTATTATCAGTAGTATCAATAAAATGATATCAGTGGTATCAGTAATGATAGTTATGATATAAAAAATATTATTTGCGAATATGATATAATAAATAAACATTTAATATCATACAATTTAATAAAGATAAATTTCGATTTGTCACATGACATGAAGCATTCATTGTCTGTTTAATTTATAAATACAACATAATCTGCAACTGCTACTACTTATGATGCAGTAAATACTAAGATACATGCGTTTATTAAGTATCTGTTTTAATCAGTAAATATGTTAAATGAACATCAACCATCCCTAATTATATTGTCCAAGTAGCATTATATGTACAATGAGCAAACTAAAAATGTAATCTGTTTATTTATTAACTACAATTCTCCGAAATTCTTCAGAGGTATCAAAAAGAAACACACAACGCATGTAAATACGCGTTAAACAACGCCTCACACACATTGCATGTGACAGGCAAGGATCTCCTTGCAATCAAATCCAGTCAATGCGATAGCAGTGTCAGGCACCTTACCGTTACACCGTCGCGTCATCGGTAATGCAAATGATGACGGAGAGGATAACTACGATGATGGTGATGATTGTAATAATAATAATAATAATAATATAAAAAAATGATGATTGTGATGGTAGTGAAGATGATGATTGCAAGTTACAGCATGTTGATGTAATTTGATGATGATGATAACGATGGTGGCAATGATGATGGTGATAATAATGATGGTGATGATGATACTAACGATGGTGGTGATGAAGATGGGGATTGCAACATGACCATGATGTTGAATGTTTGCTTGGTGGTTTGGTAGCAGAGCAGCGATGATAATGCTATTTTTAGATTATGAAAGGATAGTGCGGATGGTGATATTTATTTTCCCGGAAAGATAAACTTCGGACGAAATTAAATTTTCCAAAAAAATTAAGAAAAAAAAATGAAGAGAGAGAGAGAGTAAGAGAGAGAGAGAGAGAGAGAGAGAGAGAGAGAAGAAAAAATTCGGCTGGCCACAGAAAATGGATTCTAAGTTTTTACACTTTAGTTTTTATTCCTATCCATCCATCCTCTCCATAGAAAGTTTTTTTTTGCTTCGTTGTTTTTTAAACTTTTGTTTATTATAGTGGAACTACGAAAGATTGTTAATCATTAAAAAATGCCGTCAGAGTAAAAAAATTGTTCGGTTAAAAATTTAGAAACTCTTGTGAAAGGTAGGCAAAAATTGATGGCGCTGAAAAATGATAGATCAATCATAATTGCATTAATGTGTAAGTAATGTATAAATAAACTCATTCTGCCCAGGTAAAACTCATTAACTTAAATCACAAAACAGACATGTTTAATTTTATTAACTTTATAATGTTTCATCACCAACGTCTTCATCATCTTCATCGTTTGCTTTTCTTTAGGTTATGGTGTTTTTTTTATATTATTAATGTTTTGTTGTTAATGTTTTGTTTATTGGATGTTGTTTGAATGTTTGTGTATTTGTATCTCGATTCTCATCCATAATTATATTAATTTTCCTGTCATGGCATTTGTGTGTGTTATTAAAATGATTGAAAGATTACCAACAACGTAGTCATCACCATCGCAATCATCCATGTAAATCGCCACCATCCCCATCACCACCACACCATCCCATCTTATCTCATCTCACCACCATCACCGCCAAACAGCTGACACGGCAATGGAAGATTTGCAGATACGACCACACAGCTTGCATGTCCACTCATACAAATCTCCGCACTTCTGTGATTTCTGCGGTGAGATGCTCTTTGGACTGGTTAAGCAGGGGCTCAAATGTGATGGTCAGTATTTGTTTGTTTGTTTGTGTGTATGTTTGTAAATATGTGTGTGTGTTTGTATATGTTATGTTTGTACGTACGTGTATGTACGTGTCTTTTTGTATGCACATATGTGCATGTATGTACCTGTTTTTATAAGGAAAGACACATATAATGAATGCTTAATAATAAATGGTAAAGTTTTTCTTTGTTTAGCAGGGCAGGCTTATGGTAACTCACATGCTTTCACACAGACACTCAAAAACACACACACATATATACATATAGATATATACATACCCTCACATACATTCACACATATGCGCACGTATATTATATGTTTGTCCGTACTAATCAATGAATCATTTGATTGATTGATCGATTGATTAATTGGTCTAGCAAACAACTTTCCTCATTAAATCACGCAAGAATTTTTTAAAATTCCTCAAAAGTATCAGCATAAGTCACAACGCATATAATTAATCAAGGTGAATCAAGGTATGCTTCACACACATTGCACGTGATAGATTGGAATTTCTTTGCATTCGAACCCACTCAAATGGGCAGGGGCAGTGACTGCAACAACAGTGCCAAGCATCTCAACCATTGCACCATCGCCTTCGTCGCTCAGATATACAGTTCAATTTGTAATATATTCATTATATCAGTAGATTTACCATCAGATATATTATCTTTCTATCTCAGGGGTGGGCAAACTTTTTGTCGTAAGGGCCACATTGAAAAACGTTTTACTTTTGGAGGGCCGCATCATTATATATATATATATATATATATATATATATATATATTCATTATATATATATATATATATATATATATATATTTTTTTTTCACAAGTTTATTTCAATCAAATAATGAAAGAAAAAGGTGCAACCTTAGCAATGTATGCTATATTAATGGTGACCTTAACTAAGATGATAGCCCAAAGTATAATGTCAGTCATATTGGAAAACAAAAAATGAAAATTGAACAATTAATTAGATTAAATAAGAAACCGTGAAAAATAATAATGTCAACCCGAAATTAGAAAAGGAAAATTAATTAATAATAAGAAAAATAAATGAAATCATGAGAAGCAACAAAAAAAACCTTCAATTGTTTTTTAAACTTATTAAAAGTGTCAATTTTTTTTAAATAATTGGGAAGATCATTCCATAATTTTGGCGCATAAAAACAGAATATTCTGGAACTTCGCTTGTTAGTAGCTACTAATGTCCTGAATGAGACTTCACTAATGACTCTAGTAGATCTTGGAACCTGGATTGAATTTAAGACAATCGATGCGATATCACCCTTAGTTGATATTCCCTTTATCACTTTAAATAGGAAACAGCAGGCCTTATAGCAATTTATTTCATACACAGAAAGAAGCCGATTTATCAGAAAATTATCACGGATGTCATTTGGTCTTTTAGAATAAAAAAGTGCTTTAACACATTTTTTTTGGCAAACGAATAGTTCCTGTATACAAGTTTTATTTGCATTTCCCCAAATAAGATTGCAGTAAAACAAATGACTTTGAACAAAAGAGAAATAGAATATATATATATTCATTATATATATATATATATATATATATATATATATATATATGTGTGTGTGTGTGTGTGTGTGTGTGTGTGTGTGTGTGTGTGTGTGTGTGTGTGTGTGTGTGTGTGTGTGTGTGTGTGTGTGTTTTAAAGCTATAAATAAATTATTTATGCCAAAAATTACGTTTTTATTTATTTGCAAAAATTGTCAATTACATATATAACAGGTTTTACAGTAAATCTGATATAAAAAATAAGTTTTATTAACAAAAGTTTTTCTAATTAATGGGAAGTATGGAACTGTTCACAATTTTCAACAATGTTCTTGAATTGTGGAGCCAGATCACTTGTCACTATTCTCATTATTGCATTTAGGTTGCAGTCATTTATCATGGACCTATTTTTGGATTTATTTATTTTCATACAAGAGAATGCTTGTTCGCATATATATGTGGATCCAAATATTGAAAACATTTTTGCAGCAAATCTTTTAAAATTTGGAAATGCTACATCAGACAAAGAGCCATAAAATTCTAACAAAAGACCTGATTTAAACTTTTCTTTCAGTTCACAATTTGCTTGCATGTCCAGCAGTTCCAACTGCTAGTCTTCAGGTATTTCATCAGCTTTTATACAAAATGGTGTTGTGAGAATTGTAAACAAAGGCTCCAGGTTTTTAAAATCTTCAAATCTTTTTTCAAATTCCCTAGCTAAATCATGTATTTATTCTTTGTATTTCTGTGCTACTTCAGCAGAAATTAGTTCCTGTTTTAGCAATGGAAAATGACAGAATTTGTTTTCATCTGCTTGTCTAGAAAACAGGGCAAGTTTTGATTGAAATGATTTAACATGGTAATACATGTCATGTGCAAACAAACCATTGCCTTGAAGTTTATTGTTCAATTCATTTAACTTTTCAATAATGTCAATGGCAAACATAAAATCTAATTTCCATTGTTCATTTTTAATATTTGTAGTAAAATCAGAATTGATACTTTTCATTTCTAAAAAAAGAACTATTTCTTCTTTGAGAGCCCAGACTCGGCTCAGTGCCCTGCCAAGACTTAGCCAACGAACACTGCAGTAGTAGAGTATGTCAGAATGTTCACTTTCCATATCTTCGAGCAATGTTTTGAACTGTCTGTGGTTAAGACCTCTGGCTCTGATGATGTTTATTACCCCAACAACTGAGTCAATAACTGCTTTTCCACCGACGTTAATGAAATAATATTTAGTTGTCCATTCCTCATTAAATACTCGACATTCGTCATCTATTTTTCTTTTCTTGATAGCAGACATGACTTTTAAATACGAAACAAAAAAATTAAAAAAGAATACAAAGATGGCTTCCTCCTGCACAAAATTCAATTTTAAACAGTGTTGCCATTGAATTTAAAATAAAAGACTGAAAGGTTCAAGTTAGAATGGACCATATAGCTAGAATAAATATAGTGATAATGCGGCCTAGATAGGAGAGATTTTGTTGGAAGAAAATTTAAATCAGCCAACTTCGGTCAAGCGCCGATGTCAGCCCGACTGGAGAAGAGCAAATTTTGTCTTAATAAGCTCGATTCAACATTTTTTAAATATCAGGAATGACAATTTTGTGATAATAATGACATTATTGTGACAAAATGTTTATTGCGATTAGAAATTTGTGCGTAAAAATTAAAAACTCAGAGGACTTCGCAAGCTTTTCAAAGCGGACTGAGATAATAAATACATAGAAAACTTTAAATTTTTTTCTAATTTTTAAATATTTTTTTAACATTTTAATTAAAAACTGGTATTTAAATTAAAGATTAACAAGAAGATCAACTATATAAAAATGAATAAAAAACAAAGGAATCGCTAATAGTCTATGTCTTGCTAGGCGGGCCCGCTTGAATACATTGATTAGATGTAGCGTTAGCACCCATTAGAATGAACAATATTAAGCAAATTTTTAACAATTTAATTCTAGAATACAATGGCTTCAAATTAAATGTTTAAAATTCAATTCTAAAACATAAAAATTCATTTTTTATATGTAAATCTGAAGTGCGTACAAGGGCTCGCGGGCCGCATAAAATAGGTCGGCGGGCCGCATGCGGCCCGCGGGCCGTAGTTTGCCCACCCCTGTTCTATCTCATTACAGATTTATAGAAAAATATCTTAGGTCATTAACTCCTTCCTAGTTCAATACTTCTATAATGTGTTGGTTAGTGTGGTTATTTCAAATTAAGCCATCTAACTCGGGCATATGAACAAGTTTATTTTGCTGATGGAGATGTGTATGTTAATTGGGGCGTCTAAAGTCATTTACCTATATTTTGTTTTTAATTTACTTTTATTGGCTTCTTAAAATGTCGTAAAATTATATAAATAAACGAATTAATTAAAAATAAATTTGTATGTGGCCATTACATTAATCGTGTTGGACCGGGAATGTTTATTATAAGAACGTTATTGCTTTTTAATATCAGCGCTAGCAATCACAATTAGAATGATGTTTTATAAATGCTTTTAGCTGTGAGCTACATTGTGTACGTGCGTTCTTGCGTGTATATGTGTGTGTGCGCGCGTGTGTGTGTTCGTGCGTGTGTGTGTTTTTTGTCTTTATTCGCTTTTAAGTGCCGTGCTAAGGGTTTATTTTATGCTTGTTTATGCCCGTGTTAAGTTTTATCTTTTTCTCTATTGTGGTTGTTTGACAGACTTTGATGACATATGTTTATATGGTCGCTTTTAACAACACAACTTGTCTGCGGCTGTCTCGGCTGCTTTTGTTGTTGCTGCTGCTGCTATTGATGAAGAAGATGATGTTGATGATGAAGATGATGTTGATGAAGAAGAAAATGATGTTGATGAAGAAGAGGATGCTGATGAAGAAGATGATGTTGATGAAGAAGATGATGTTGATGAAGAAGAATATGATGTTGATGAAGAAGAATATGATGTTGATGAAGAAGAGGATGTTGATGAAGAAGAGAATGTTGATGAAGAAGATGATGTTGACCCTGTGTGGTGATGATGTTTATGATGGAGTTGATGTAGTGATGATAGGGTTGATAACGATGTTGATATATGGTGCTAGCTAGTATCAATGATGTGTTTATAATTGATGTATTGTCTTTTATGATGTGGTTAAATGTGAGTGAAATGTTGATTATTATTATTACGGTGATGATTAGACTATGATGTTGATTTTGTTGAGCGAATATGAACAGTTTTTATAATGGTGGTGCTGGTAATAATAATAATAATAATATATGTAGTAATAATAATTATAATAATGTCTGCTTGATGATGAAAATGATGATGTTTCCTTGATAACGATGTTAACGATGATGATGATAACGATGATGGTAACAATAAATAAATTGGCAATGTTTTCTCTGCTGTGTTTGTGTACAACCTTATTGCCTTCTCCTATAATTACATTCTGGTGCTGATTATGATACTGCTCCTGGTGACGGTGATGATTATGATGACAATGGTGATGATAGTGGTGATGATGACGCTGTTGTGGATGCTACGGCGGCTGCTGGTGACGTTGACCACATTACGGATGATGATAATGATGAAAGCAATAAGTGTCAATATTGATTGCACTGCTGACAGCTGAAGACCTGGTGATAAAGTTATTTTATTATTGCCTGATAAAATATGCCACTAATGATGTCTTCTTTGATTACATACTCTGTCTGTCTGTCTGTCTGTCTGTTTATTTATCAGTTTGATTGTCTGTTTCTAAGTTATACCTTTTTTATTCTTTTATTGATTTCTTTATTAATATTTTCAAGTAATTGACTATTTTATTTTGAAATTCAGCCTTTTTTTTCGCAGCTGAAATAAAATAAGTGCTCGTTTATTATTCTTCATTTAGTTTCCTCATTTGAAAGATTTAAAATTTTCTAACGATAAGTTCAAATCCAGAAAAGAAATGGAAAAAAAAACGTTCCAAAAAATAAGAATCCATTATTTGGAAATAAAGTTGATTCGGTTCGCTAACTTTAGTACTATCAGACACACACACACGCACACACACACACACACACACACACACATGCACACACGCACACACGTACGTAGACACGCACGCACACAGGTAACTTGTTTATTTTATGTTTTTCCGTGAACACTATTTTGTGACATTTTGATGTGGAATAGTTTGCCTCATGACATTAGCAGCATGTTTTAACATTATAAGAAACACCATATGCACCACTACTATCTTACCACCCACCTTTCTACCTACACACCCACCTACAAACAATTTGCAGATCTATCATTTTTTTGCAATTATAAAGTTTTTAAAGTTTTCCTATTCCATTTTTTTTTATAAATCCTTTTTGTTTTTTTTTACGTTTTGATAATTTCATAAAACTAGATTGTAATCAGTCAATTTATCCACTTTTACCTTCAACTATTTTTTTAAAAATCACATAAATAGTTACACAATATCTACAAATTCAATACAACATCAGTTGCAATGACATTCTTATAATAACAACGAAAATTTCAATATCAACAACGTCTACCTACCGCACGCGTTAAAATATGTGTGTATGCGTGTTTGTGTATGTGTGTATTTGCTCGTTTGTTTGTGTGCGTGTGCGTGCGTGGGTGTATGTGTGTGTGCGTGAGTGTGTGTTTATGTGTGCGTGTGTGTGAGTGAGTGCGGCGAATGTCGAGATATTCATTCTCTAAGTAATTTATTATGTGATATTAGTGAAGGTGAATGACAGGAACTTGTGACTTGGTCCAAAATTTGTTTTTTTCTGATTTAGCTATTTAATTATCTCTTATATGTTTTTGCTCTCTTTCTCTCTCTCTCTCTCTCTCTCTCTCTCTCTCTCTCTCTTTTCTCGTTCTTTCCCCTTTCTTCTTTTCATAAAAGTTAACTGATTTTTGGATGTTAATAAAATAAGGAAGGCAGTTTGTTTATTTTATTAAAGTATTCAGTTTTTGTATATCATGCATCTATCGTTTTGTGTGACGTGTTTGTCTTTTGCGATAATGAAAATGATGAGGTATAAAAATACTATAGCTGAGTTTTTTTTCATTGAAAATTCCAATTACTTTCACCTTAATCCATTTTTATGTCTGTCTGTCCGTTCATTCGATTTTTTTTTAATATACATTCATTCATCTATTCATTTATCTATTCATTCATTCATTCATTCATTCATTCATTCATTCATTCATTCATTCATTCATTCATTCATTCATTCATTCATTCATTCATTTATTCATTCATTCATTCATTCATTCATTCATTCATTCATTCATTCATTCATTCATTCATTCATTCATTCATTCATTCATTCATTCATTCACTCATTCACCTTATTCATCCATTGAATGAATTAGGCTGTCGGATGAACTTCCACAAGAGGTGTGCTTACAAGATCCCGAACAACTGCAACTACTCCAGGCAGAGGAGGTTGTCCTCGGGCAGTAGCAACCAGGGATCTCCAAACGCCGCTGAAGATCAAGTTGCCGGACTTCTATATTATTTCTCTGAATAAATACATAATTTGCCAACGAGTTCATTTCGCTTAAGACATTTTACTTATTTGAAAAGTGACTCCTATTAATGTCATTATGAACATGCATGCATGCATCTGGCGCAGATCCCATTGGCCAGTGCTCTGAGCTCGTCCGCGAAAAGTGATTCGGGCAGTCGGAACAGTCGATCGAAATCATGGAGTGGTCGACCACTGTGGATGGAGAAAGAGTATGCCTGGAGGATCAAGGTGCCACACACGTTCATCTACCACAACTACACCAGACCCACTGTCTGCCAGCACTGTAAGAAACTTTTGAAGGGTCTTTTCAGGCAGGGATTACAGTGCAAAGGTTGGTTTGCATTGTGTGTTTGTTATATATACTTACATATCTGTTTACTTTTACGCGTGTGTACGTTGTTTTATATTAAGCCAATGAAGTTGGTCAGTGTTTGAAAATATTTTCATCACCGTCCTGAATGACTTTGTTTGTTTTTTCTTTCTGTAGACGCAGCAAGTTATAAATTCTGTTTATATTTTTTAAGGAATGTTCAGATAGGTGTTTGTCCTTACGTGTTCTTTCCTGTTTGCATCTCTATGTTATAGGCATGTGTGTTTGTAAGCTTGTATGTTAATGTTCATGCCCGATTAATTATTATTGGATGCTTCACGCAATGTATGTTACTGTACATGCTTGTTTTCATGAACACATTTATATTTGTCTCTACATGTAAGATATATATATATATATATATATATATATATATATATATATATATATATATGCAGCATAAGCTTGTTACATGTTTACAGGTTCCTCTCCTTTTTGCCCTTAGAGTAGTGCCTGCTTCAATTCACTTATAACTCTTCCTCCTTTCTTTGATTGATCGGTTCAGTTGAATTTAATTGCATTTGCGTGAAGAATTGAGGAGGTGGTCTTGTGGGAAAAACGCCACTTACGTTTTTTTTTATTTAATTTAAAATCCATCTTTGTTGTCAATTGAGTTAGAATTGTTTTTTTTTATACAAGAATAAGTTTCATAGTGTTGGTTTTTCATGATTATCAAGTTAACTTTTTTTTGACATGTAATCAAGTTTGTTTGTATGTATGCGGGTATGTTTATGCGTTTGTATGTTTAGGTTTACGTGTTTGTATGTACATTGTATATGCCTTTCTTTTTCTCTGTTAGCTCGTTTGTTTTTCCATATTTTATGATTATCAGATTGTATTTCATATGTAAATTTATGTATGTGTGTATGTATGTGTGTGTGTGCTTATTTGTTTGTTTGTATGTTTTGATATGAATGCTTTTGTGTAAGTTTGTGTGTGTGGATGTATGTTTGAATGTACAACATGTCTGTCTATCTGTCCTTAGGCTTGTTTGCCTTTTCATATCTTTATTGCTTTTGTTTTTATTTATTTTTTCCCCTAAATAAACACGCTGGTCCCAATCTCAACTTGCGTTTGTTTTACGTGTTTATCTGCCGGTCAGTCGGCTGGTTGGTTGGCCGGTTGGTCGGTCGGTCGGTCGGTTAATCGGACGAGATGGGTGGGAAGACTGATTTCTTGTTTTTCACATTTTTTCAAATGTTGTTAGTTTCTGGTTTGTTGTTGCTTGTTTGTTTGTTGTTGTTTGTTTGTTGTTGTTTGTTGTGGGTTTTTGTGTATTTGCTGTTTAGTTTGTTTGCTCTGCTGAATTGAAAGATATTTTTTAAGTTGGGCTGTTTTTTGACTTTAGGAAGACGATGAAGTGATGTTGATTTGCACGATTTGTTTGCGTGTGCAGTACGCTGTGTCAGTTACATCGTATGCTTCCTACGCAATCTCTTTGTAGTTTTTTTGTGTGCAGATATGTTAAATTAGTCAATATAGTCATAACCATAATATTAATGATGGCCATGAAGATGAGGATGATGTATCTTGATGTCATCAAGTTACTTCTCCGAAAAATGAATGTTTGAAATTAACGAAAACTCGTGAATGTGGCAGGCAATGAATGCATCCTGTTTTTGGAGTTGACAATTGAGTTTGCGTGGAAAAGTCTTTCTTACCATTTAAAACCAAAGCAACAGACATGCCAACGTTAATAGTTTGAAAAAAATATCGTTAACTTTACGAGAGTTAAAACATTGACTGACATTTTGCGTATGCAAACATGAAAACGTGACGAACATCATGAACATTACAAACATGACGAACATTACAAACATGACGAACATTACAAACATGACGAACTTTACGAACAGGACGAACTTTACGGATATGACGAACATTACGAACATGAAGAACAGTACTAGCACGACAAACGTGACAAACGTTGACAACATGACGAACTTGACGAACATGACGAACAATACAAGTAAAGGTGACAAAAACGTATCACCACACCGACAGACTGCAAGTTCAACTGCCACAAGAGGTGTGCACCACTCCTGCCAAAGAACTGCCCCGGAGAGGTCAAGTGGGGTCACGGATGTTAGTCATGATGATGATAGTGATGGTGATGAGGGTGATGATGAGGATATTGGTACTTTACCGACAACAATTTGACTGTTTTATCAACATTTTGACGATGTACCAAATAAATTAATAAACCGATACGTAATAAACCGGTGTACCGTACCGGTAATTAATAAATGTACCATTGCTATTCACCGATCATTATTATTGCATAATCTGTCTTTATAAGTGAATTAATTGATATTTATAAAATTTATCGAAGCACCCAAACATTTTATCAAACGCGCGTCAAACCTTTTGTTGTACATACAGCTCAGATACGTATCATGATAGTAGCTCTCTATCTTTCGACATTTTAATTTTATTTTCATATACTTTTTTTGATGATGATGATGATATAGGGATGACAATGTACATACGTATCGAGAATTTTCTGATGGTAATGATGATGATGATAGTGATGGTGATGATGATGTTATTGATGATGAGGATGATAATGATGATGATGAATGAATGAATGTTTATGATAATGATGATGTGATGATGACAATGATGAAAAAAGCAATTCCGCCAATGTTTATGTTCATTTTAAAATTACCGTTACTTATAAGCAGAGATCATGCAATAATGACTGGCATCATCATCATCATCACCGTTATCATCATCGTCTTCGTCATCATCATCGTCTTCATCATCATCATCATCCATACTGTGATGATGATGATATGTAGTGGTGATAATTTGATGATAATGATTTATATTTTTTCAATGAGGGTAATAAATTATGGGTAAATAATAATTTTATTGGGAATCGTAATAATTTTTTTTATTTTTTTAAACAAAACGCGCTTCCTCTATTTACCTTCACTCATTAATTCATTAACTCATTCATTCATTCATTCATTCATTCATTCATTCATTCATTCATTCATTCATTCATTCATTCATTCATTCATTCATTCATTCATTCATTCATTCATTTTTTATTGAACTTTTAGAATAATAGTCCTTTCATTTATCCATCCATCCATCTCTCCATTCATCCATCTATTCATACATTCATCCATTTATCCTTCCACTCAATGCATACATCAAAAAGTGCGTTTTTTAGTTTTAGGAAAAAACAATTGTGTTACTTTTACTTCATCTACTTAAGTTCATTCGTTCATTCATTCATTCATTCGTTCATTCATTCATCATTCATTCATTCATTCATCCCTTCATTCATGTATTATTTTATTCTTCATTCATTTCGTGTTCATAAATTCTTTCTTTTCTTCTTTCATTCATTCATTTATTCATTTCATTTTTTTACATTCTCTCATTTTCCAATCATTTCTTCATTCAATCATTCATTCCCTCGCACTCTTCCTAAACAGCTCAGACGTACGGCTCGCAGGACAGCACGGAATTGAACGACCTTGACAGTTCAGCCGACCTTGACCTCTCCTTATCACACGACAGCAAACAGATCGAGGATGATGTTGCCGAGGAAGATGATAATGAAACGATGCAGATGGCTCCTCCCCCTGTTTGGTATGTTCTTGGGAATATGTTAATTTATGTTAATTGTGCTGCTAGTTATGCTGCTAATTATGTTTTTTTTGTGTTATATGTTTTTGTTAGTTTAACCTGTTATACTATTATCTTTCTGGTTTTAAACTGGCAGAGAATGTTTTAGGGATTTAATTTATTGTTGCCCTTGATGTCTTGTCTTTCATGTATTGGAAACTTACGTCAAATCATTAATTTTCTTTATTTTTATTCAACCAAGCATCCATCAACACATCAATGCATGCAAGCATTTATAAATTCAATTATCCATCCATCCATCTATTCATCCATCCATTCATCCTTTTCACTCACAGCATGACAAACAGTTCCAACATTCCTCTGATGCGTGTCGTCCAATCAGTGAAGCACATGAAGAAGGCCGGTTCAAAGGTCATTCGGGAAGGGTGGATGGTACACTTCACTAACAGGGACAATACTGTTAGTTTCCAAGATTGTATCATTTAGTTCATCTTATCTGATGTTTTTTTTTGTATCATGTCTGGTGTTACATTTCCACACGCACGCATGTTTCAGACGTATCAGCTGCCTAACTAACTAACTAACTTACAACACACATGTCTTGCATTGCACTTTTGCCGAGACCCCTTTCGCCTGCAACCTGGTCACTGAACAGTAGGCCCAGCGCTTGCCTTAAGCCATCTCGCCGCCTAGTATAGTTAAAGATGTGTGCACGGTTTGAGCTGATTGATCGATTTATACTTTTAAAGTATTACAACGTAGTTTATATCGATGGATGACAAACTAGCAAGTATTCAAGCAACAGACTACAGACAACTTCGCATGCATCTAAAACTGGGATAAATTGAATCTTTCTTCTGAGTTAGAAATAACTGCAGGCGAGCTTGAAAGATTTAAAGTAGATAATCTAATTGAATAAAATGTGGAAAATTTCAACTCTTAAAAATAATGTGATAAACTTTGTACACGCATGCCACACGCACGCAATCTCTCTCTCCCTTTCTTTCTTTCTTTCTTTTTTCTTTCTTTCTTTCCTTCTTTTTCTCTCTCTGTCTCTCTCTGTCTTTCTCTTTCTCACACACACACACACACACACACACACACACACACACATATATATACATATATATACTTTCATGTATATGTGTGTGCGTGCTTTTTAATATCTAGAGGAAACGACATTTCTGGAGGCTGGATGTCAACACTATAACTCTTTATCAAGATGAGAACACTTCTCGATATTATAAGGTTATTATTATTACATGTTCATGTTTACATTGTTCACCGTTCACTCCTTTGTTCGTATATTGTTTGCACTCATGTACGCTCATATTGCTGTGTGTATATGCGAGTAATACATAATATATGTATTTGTGTGTTTATGTGTGTTTGTATTTCTTCATGTATATATGCGTTTTATGTCCTTTCTTTATATGTAGTTTTGTGACTACGTCCGTTTGTATGGGCTGGGGTGAGTAGAAATTAATACCTTCCGTCACTAAAGTGCCATGTTATGAATTTATGATGATGCGTGGTGACGTTTATTCGGGCAGGAAATCCCTCTGTCTGATATCACGTATGTCGGCCAGTCGAGCCCTGCAGCTACTACTGCCACTGCCGCTACCACCAACATTGCTACTACTATCGCCACAAACAGCAACAACACAGCGAAAACAAAAACATCATCTACAAAAACATTATCGGCAAAATCGTCGTCGACATCAACTTCAACGGTGTCAACCACAGCAACAGCTGCCACAGCAATATCGAGAAACATTTTGTTGATGACGTTTAATTCGACGTCATCATCTTCCGCCAGCTCTCCTGCCAGATCTTCAACAACTATTCCCGAGGAGGTAGAACGGAACCCCCACGTCTTTGAAATTCACATCACTGGTGGGTACCTGTGCCTATGGTATGTGTGTGGCGTGTGTGTGTTTGTGTGTGGTGCGTATGTGTGTATGGTGCGTGTGTGCGTGCAGGTGTGTTTGTATCAATGTATCTATCTATGCTTGCATTTTTAGTATGAATGCACGTTTTTTCATATTTTGTCTGTAGTTTTTTACAATGTAATGTCAGTGTAGATCAGTATAAGCCGTCGTCCAGTTCTCTTCAGTGGCTATAAATTCAAGTTGTTTTTTGTAAAAATGAGGTCTCAAACTTGTCTCCAAAACCCAAAAACTCAATTTATATTAATCCCCATGTTCTATGCTGCCACATACGTGCGTTTGACCAACAATTGGTGCAAAGAAAAAATATTGGTTATGTTGGTTGTAGAGAGTTGAATGGATGGAGCATTGTCAGTGATGATCACCGGCTCCCTTGCTTCCTGGATTTGAACACCATTTAGATTACACAAAATATACAAATGATGGCGGTGATGATGATTGTGATGATGTTGGTGATGATGATTGTGGTGATGTTGGTGATGATGATTGTGATGATGATTGTAATGATGATTGTGATGGTGATTGTGATGGTGATTGGGATGGTGATGATGTTGGTCGTATGTTTGTAAGGTAGATTGTTTTGTATGATTTCATGAATGTATGCAAGCTTAGTGTGTATGTATTTTTTTTTATTTATTTTCTTCCACAAACATAAAATGCATGAAATTTAAAGTTAGACCATTATTAGTTGAGTGCAATTTGATAAGTGATGCTTTTTGCACGGCTGTGTTTAGATTCTTTTGATGGTTTCTCAGAATCTTAGGACGTTGTTTGTTTGTTTGTTTGTATGTTTGTTTGTTTGTTTGTTTGCTTGTTCTTTAGTTTTACGAAATCTTAAAAATGCAAATATAAAAACCTGAATAACCATTATCTTCAGGATACAATAATTTTTTTCAAGTTATTAGCCTGTTGTATCGTATTTTATGTTTTATGTCGTATTATTGAGCTTTATTTAAATAACATGTTGTCTTGCGTTATTTGTGTATGGATGTGTTTGTGTATATATACAGTGTATGTGCATGAATCTGTATGTATATTGTGTATGCGTATATACATTGTTTGTTTGGTTTTTATGCATGTGTATTTAGTTAAAGTGATGTGTGTATGTGTGTGTCTGTGTCTGTGTGTGTGTCTGTGTGAAGTGATGATGATGATGGTGATGTTTTTGTTGTTTCCAACGTCATTGGGTATAGCGGTGCTGACACTGCAGTTGAACTAACTAGATGCCGGTTGTTGGTTACGTTGGTGATAATGATGATAGTAGTGATGATCATAGTCCTCCTGACTTTGCCAATATGGCATTCCATGTCTCCGTCTACATCAAGTGCTATTCATTTTCTCATCAATCTCCATCCGTTGTCATCATCATCAGCGTCGTCGTCGTCATCATCATTATCATCGTCACCATCATCATCTTCACCATCATCATCATTATCGTCGTCATCATCATTATCATCGTCACCATCATCATCGTCATCATCGTCATTTTGTTGTCTTTATCATCATTATAAGTATTATTGCCATCATCGTCATTATTTTACTCACATCGTCATCATCACTGTCATCATCATCATCATCATCATCATCATATTCATGTCTGTTCAAGCAGTTCATTGACTGGAAGGAATTTCTCGATCGGTCGAACGTTCTATTGTCCTCATTATACAGGCGCTGTCTGACCAAGTTTAAACGCGAAAAATCTCATGATTCTATTCTCTAAACATCACACGCGCACACACATGCACGCACACTTCACAAGCACGCACACCCACATACATGTGCGTCATATTAAACAGCATATTGCATCAAAGATTTTATCAATTTACATGTTTGTGTGTGTTTGTGTGTGTGTGTTTAGTGCGGTATGTGCGTTGGTGCGTGCGTATGTCTGACTGAGTAGCAAGCACTGATGGCAACTTTTTAGGATGCATTTTATATTCTGTTTGAATGCATTTGACATCAATAATCCTACCGCATCCTCATAACTATTTCCTCCATCATCCGGCCAAACAATCAAGCCACCAACCGACCAAAAAACTAACCAACCAACTAACCAACCAAACAACTAACCAACTAACCAACCAACCAACCAAAAAACTAACCAACCAGGTGACACGATATACTACGTTGGTGACGATCCAAGCCAGGGCGGTAGTGAGGAGTATGTATCATCGACAGAAAGCGGAATTGGACTGGAGCAAGCGAGGAACATGGAGGCAGCCATCCACCAGGCCCTTCTCCCTGTTACCCCAAAACCCAGCGTTGATAGCGACAAAGGTTAATGAGATTTTTATTTTTAAATTAATTTTTTATTTTACTTATTCTAAATATTTAATTTTAATTTAATTTATATTTTTCTCTTTTATTTAAGATTCGCAGGCTACCAGCACGAACGTGAAGAAGGAAGAGATTCTGGTTAATAGCCATTTATTTTTACTTTTCTCATTTTTATCTTTTGTCATCCTCTTCCTCTTTTTTTTCATCCTTCTCATCATCATTATCAATTTACTCATCATCGTCGTCATCATCGTCATCGTCTTCATCATTATTTGAGAAAATGTTTTAATTAGTAAAAAATGTGCTGCCGTTCATGCAATTTCAATCCACATACCATTATAATATATGAGTTTGAAAATAAATTTTTAACGTCATAGCTTCGGGTGGCGCTTTCAAACAGTAATTGAACCCAACATTTATTAAATTAACATTAAATTTAAATTAAATTTAAATTAAATGTCTCCAGGATGTCAGTTTATTGTATCAGATATTTCCAGATGAAATTCTTGGATCCGGACAGTTTGGCGTCGTCTACGGAGGTAATTTACAGTTAAGCTAAGCTAATGTGACGATGTTGTGGTGACCCCTTTTCGATGTTGTTGTGACCTTGACCTTGACCTTGTCGATGTTGTTCTGACCTTGACGATGTTGTTCTGACCCTGATGGTGCTGACTTGATGGTGTTGACTTTTAGGGAGTTACCATCGTCGTCATAGTTATCATAACTTTGTCATCATTATCATGATCGTCTCTGCACCGTCCCCATCATCATCATCATCTTCATCATCTCCTTGATCATCATCTTCTTCATCTTTCTGAGTCTAGGTAAATGTCGACGCGACGAATCAGATGTTGCCATAAAGGTCATCGACAAGTTGAGGTTTCCAACGAAGCAAGAGGCCCAGTTGAAAAATGAAGTCGCCATCTTGCAGGTTGCTGCTGTTGTTGTTTTGTTGTTGCTGTCTGGTTGATGATTGTTCACTAGTCTGTCTCATTTTTCGTCTCATTCACTGTTCATCTGTTTTGTTATTTGTCTGTCTGTATGCCTGTCTTGCTGTTTGTTTGTCTATTTTGTTGTTTTTAGTTACTAGGTTTTGTTTGCCTTTTTGTTTGTTCATCTTATCTTGTGTCTGTATTGTTGTTTGTTTGTCTCATTTTGTGTCTGCCTCGAATGTTCATCTCATTGCTTGTCATTTTTTGTATGTCTGGTTTTTTTTCATCTGTCTCGATGTTTATCTTTCTGTCTGTCTGTTTATGATTTGTTTATCCAGCCATGTATGTTTTTTTCATTCATCTGTTTGTTTGTTTATTGAAAAGATACAAAGATACAAAACTCTTGATTATACATCACGTACAGGATTTAAATCACCCTGGTGTTGTTAACCTTCAAAAAATGTTCGAAACAAATGAAAGGGTTTGTCATTCTAATTGCTTCTGATAATATTTTTATTGCGAAATAATTATATTTAAGTTTATCATTTTCTTAATTTCATAAAATAAGTGCTTGCATACATGGGTACAAGTCTGTTGATACATTGGATATTGATGATGATACATTAGGTTTTGATGATGATACATTGGATATTGATGATGATACATTAGGTTTTGATGATGATACATTAGGTTTTGATGATGATACATTAGGTTTTGATGATGATACATTGGATATTGATGATGATACATTAGGTTTTGATGATGATACATTGGATATTGATGATGATACATTAGGTTTTGATGATGATACATTAGGTTTTGATGATGATACATTAGGTTTTGATGATGATACATTGGATATTGATGATGATACATTAGGTTTTGATGATGATACATTGGATATTGATGATGATACATTAGGTTTTGATGATGATACATTAGGTTTTGATTATGATACATTAGGTTTTGATGATGATACATTGGATATTGATGATGATACATTAGGTTTTGATGATGATACATTGGATATGGATGATGATACATTAGGTTTTGATGATGATACATTGGCCAGTGATAATGATATGACACACATAAACGTAATGATTGTCACTGTATTTGCTAGTTTGAGATACAGCTTTTGTTACACGGATACATTGGATGAAATCAATCAACGCATTGCAGATATTTGTGGTGATGGAGAAGCTGAAGGGTGATATGTTGGAGATGATTCTATCGAGTCCTCGGGGCAGGTTATCCGAGAGGGTTACTAAGTTCCTCATATCGCAGGTCGGTTGATTACGTAATTGTATGATTCACGTCACCATTTGCATCATCATCTAGGTCACCGTCTACGTCACCATCTAGGTCACCATCTAGGTCACCATCTTTGTCACCATTCATGTCATCGTCTAAATCATCATCTATGTGTCATCATCAACATTATCACCATCACAACATCACCATAAATGACTTGCTCACCATCAGATCCTAACAGCACTGAAGCACCTGCACTCTCTGCATATTGTCCATTGCGATCTGAAGCCTGAGAATGTTCTCCTATCTTCTGAGACTCCATTCCCTCAAGTTCGTCATCATCGCATTTTCTTCGGTTTCCCATATTTTTGTTGCTTTATTTTTCGTATTGATGAAGGTGATAAAGGACGGCGATGATTACAAAGATGAGGATGGTGATAAATGAGGATGGTGATAGACGCATGATCTATTATAACATGCAGGTTAAATTATGTGACTTTGGCTTTGCTCGGATCATCGGTGAGAAATCCTTCAGGAGATCTGTTGTCGGCACTCCAGCTTACTTAGGTTTGGTTGGATTGACGTTGTTGTTGTGTTGTTGTTGTGTTGACGTTGTTTTTGTGTTGTTATTGTGTTGTGTCGTGCTGTTTTCGTTCTCGTACTTTTCATTTGCCAGTTTAGTGTTGTTTTTTGTGATGACGAAGACGATGCAAGCGAAATATTGATGATGATGAGGAGGATGATGATAACGAAATTATGATGATGATGATGATGATGATGATGATGATGACGATGAGAACCATTGAATTGTCAAATCACGTGACAGCTCCAGAGGTATTGACCAGCAGGGGTTACAACAGATCATTAGACATGTGGTCAGTCGGAGTTGTTATTTACGTCAGGTAAGTTAGCTACGTTTGTTTGTTCTGTTCTGTTCTCGTTCCCTACTTAGTAACTGACCGACAGACTGGCCGACTTACTGTTTTGCTGACCGACCGACTGACTGATTGACCGACTGACTGACGATGATTACGTCATCTACTGTTATTCGTTCAGCTTGAGTGGCACGTTTCCCTTCAACGAGGATGAAGATATTCCCGCCCAAATTCAAAACGCGTCATTCATGTTTCCCGCCAACCCGTGGAAAGAGGTCACTCCAGAGGCCATTGAACTGATAACAAAGTCAAGGACGTTTGCTTATTATTATTATTTGTATTTTTATTGTATTGTTGTTATTACGATGGCTGATGAATAATTGAATGAATGGAATGAATGATTGTTGAGAGTTTCTGCTGTTTATTAATTGAGGTCCCAGCTATCAGCGTTAAATTTTTGTGTTCTCTGTTGAAAAAGTTTTATAAAATAAGAGGAATGTAACAACAAATGATGATGATAATTTTGATAATGTATTTCTGATTAAATTGGATGCACATACACACGCACGCACACATACGTACATACATACATACATACATACATACATACATACATACATACATACATACATACATACATACATACATACAGACTGCTACAGGTGAAGCTAAGGAGGAGATTCACAGTTGACAAGTCACTGTCTCATATCTGGCTTCAGGTCGTCATCTCTGCTACGTTCAATTTTTAAGTTGTTTGGTTGTCTTTTTGTTTGCGTTTGTGGTTATGCTTGTTTTTGTGTGTATTTGTGATTGTTTTTACGTTTTTGTGCTTATGGCTATGATCTTAAATTTGCGTTTCAATGACTGTTGCTTCTATATAAACTCCGACATGGGCAACGAGCGCTTGCTTGGTTACTAGGTCAAACTTAAACTGCTGTAACCAAACGACTTGCATTCACCTCCTTCGTTTGCACACCGATCCCGTATGGTGTTTGTTAAGTTTGGCGCAGTCAGCATTCGAACAAGAACCGCATGCAACCGCAACAACTGAACTGAGAGAGGAGGGTGATGATGATGTTGGCAACAGAAATGATGACGACGACGACGATGTTGTTGCTGAAAATAAAAATGACGAAGAGTTATTTCCAATTTGAATGTTTAACACCAAACTGCAGGATTATCAGTGCTGGTGTGACCTGCGTAAGTTGGAGTCGCAGGTGGGACAGCGCTACTTGACGCACGAATCAGATGACGAGAGGTGGGAGACCTATCGCAAGGAGAACCGTCTGCCCGCCTGGGATTTGTATGGACACACTGGTTTGTGGTGTGGTGTGGTTTGGTGTGGTTGGATGTAGTCTCGTGTGGCGTGATGTGGCGTGGTGTGGTGGTTCTGATGAGGATGGATATGTTCTGCCTTTGTTGAAGTTGTGTTGCTGTATTTATGTTTATGTCGTTGTTTTATGTTTGTGCTGTTGTTTACGCTGTAGTTATTTGGCCGTGGTGTAGTTTCGGTGCTTTTACGTTGCTCGTGGTTAACCGACAGACTAGATAGATATCTAGATATTTAATTATCACCCGCTAGGTGTATCGAAGGATGATGTCTTCGCGTTCAGCCGAAACGTCAGGCACCCCCCACCACAACAACTGGTCCAACAATACCAACAGTACCAACAACACAATCAGCAACAATTTTTCCACATGTAACGCAACTGATGCATTGATTACTCAACGTTAACAACACGATGGGCTGTATGTATCCACAACATTAACAACAACTATAACAACTACAACAACGATAACATTAGCAGCACCAACAACAACATTAACAACAACATTAACCACAACAACAACAACGTTAACAACAGTGATAACAACAACAGCAACACCAAATCACAAAGCTTCAAAACAACATCACCAGCTACAACTCCATCACCAAAGACGACGACAAAAAACAACAATAGCGTTTTCTCATCATTTTACATAGTTTCGCGTCAACTGAATGTATTAATTATTATCATTATTTACAGTTATTTATTATAGTTTAGTTGAATATAATATTATAAATGTTATAATTTGTACATAAAATCAAATTTTAGGTTTTACAAATTTTGATTATTTGAGTCCAATGTTACGTATTCATTATAGATAAAAACCGTTAGTTTTGATGTTATTAGTCCTAAAATCATGAACGCGAAAAATGTTATATAGAATTAGGAATGTACGGAACCATTGATGTTTGCATCGTACATACATCTTGTTATATTTATATTATTTTATATTATTTTGTTATATTATATTATATTATAATATTATATTATATTATTTATTTTCTTTTTTTGTTTTTCTTCTCAACGTTTCATTGAAAATTTCTTGAGAAAGCTTGCAGTGGATAAGAGGATAAGAAAGCTTGCAGCGGATAAGAAAGCTTGCAGCTGATAAGTTTTATAGTTTGGCATTATTTATTTTATGGTACATATCGTATCGATATACTTATCTCATCATAATTGCGTTTTGTTTTTATCATTTTAAATATTTTTTCATCACGTTACGTCCTTATCATTTTTCTTTGTTTTATTTTATCATTTTACCTACTGCATATCCATTTTCCAATCAAATTTTAAAGTTCTTTTTTTTATTTATATTAGTCTCCTTTTCTTTTCTAAGTTCCTAATTATAACTGTTACACGCACACACACACACGCACACACACACACGCACACACACACACACACGCACACACACACATACACACACGCACACACCACACACTTACGCACGAACAAGCAGACAAACAAATATACATAATACATTAATTAAAAATTGGTTATACATTGGTTATTGAATTAAAGTTAATTTATTTGTTATGTAGCTAACTAACCCAACTATTCATCTAGTCGATCATTGTGGCCATTTTATATATATATATATTTTTCTAGTTTATTAATATTAATCAGCTTTTAATTTGGGTTTTAGGAGTTAGATGTACCAACCAATCTCTTCTCGTCTTTATTAATGTTAGTATGAATGATTTTATTTGATTTTTCGATAATTTTCAATTTTATTTTACTAATAAATTAATTTTATTTTAGGTATAATGGGTTATAAGTTGCGTAAATATAATCATACAAATGATTATGTATATATTATAAATATACTCATACAAATGATTATGTATATGTATTTTATATATGATATCATAAATAAATAGTTGAATGAATGAATGAATAAGTTAGTGAGCGAGTGAGTGTGTGAGTGATTAAATGAGTGAATAGATAAATGATTAAATATATATCCTGTATTATGTTTAATATTTATGATATACCGATGGCTTACATTACATTTCTTAGCCTTCAGTTATTTTCAGTTTTAAGATTGAAGCTTTTACAATGACATAAACTTTAATTATTTTTTAATAATTATGTTAATTTTATTCAGCGACGAAATGTTATATTATTATTGTTAATGTAATCATTGATCATTAATCAGTAGTATCGTGAACGATCAGTCACTCAATTTTTCTGCAATATTTAATTACAACTTAGCTCTGCTTACATAAAGTACAATATGACTGCAGCGCGCTCACACACACACACACACACACACACACACACACACACACACACACACACACACACACACGCACACACACACGTGTTAAAAACTGTGCAAAGTTATTTTTCTATCATCATGAATGTTCACAAGTGTTCTAACTGTTTACACTTCAGAAGTTTACACAGCTTTCATTCAATAAATGAAGTTGTATTTTTGCTTAAACTTTGAGGATGACCTCAAAAAATGTCCATTTTATATTATATCATACATTAATAATCTCATTTAATTATTACTCATTTTTTTAATAGGTTTTGACTTGCCATACAATTTTTTAGCGTCATTGATTCTACTTTACAATCTTCTACTGTCTTCGTTACTTCTGCATTTGTGTGCGTGTGTGCGTGTGTGTGTGTGTGTGTGTGTGTGTGTGTGTGTTCGTTTTAAAATTTGTTTTCATTATCATTGAATTTAAAAATTTTTTTGTTGTATGTTCGCATATTTTCAAATATATATATATATATATATATATATATATATATATATATATATATATATATATATATATTTTTACAATATTCTATAAATTCTACCGAATTTTTATTGATGATATGTTTAAAATGTCACACCAACCAACCCAAATAGTAAAGTTAAACTCCGAATTTATTACAACAATAAAAAGACGCCTCACCTAATACTGAATATATATATATATATATATATATATATATATATATATATATATATATATATATATATATATATATATATAGAAAAAAAAAAAAATGTCTTTTTTTATTTATATATATATATATATAAAGTGTGTGATATATATATATAGAT